CCATGGGAAGATTGTGTCCAGCCTCTTCTTAAAAACCTCCAGAGGTAGAAAAACTCAGAACTTCTATGAGTAGACGGTTCCACTTGATTGTCCATGGGAAGATTCTCAGTCATCCAGGACATGGTTGTCCCAAATGTGTGCTTTTTCCAAAAAGGCAACTGGACTTTCGTTTTCCCTTGAAGACATTTTGCTTCCCGTCCAAGAAGCGTCTTCCGAAGAATTGAAGAAGCTTCTTGGACCAGAAGCGAAACGTCTTCAAGGGAAAACGAAAATCCAGTTGCCTTTTGGAAAAAGCACTTTTTGGGATGTTCTTCTGACCGTTGGAGACTCCTGGCCATTAGAAAGTTGTTCCTCATATTTAAACGAAAGCCAGATAGGTAAATAAATAGTACATATTTATTATATCTGTATAAATCTAGTAAATAAATAAATAGATAGTAACCGCCGTTATTTCAGGTCCTAGTTTCTGTGGCCGTTGCAAATAATACCTGGCCATCAAAAGATAAACAGTAACAGAGTTGGAAGGGACCTTGGAGGTCATCTAGTCCAACCCCCTGCTCACCCAGGAGACTAGGGATTCGAACCACCAAACTTTCTGATCGACAAGCTCAAGTGTCTTAGCCACTGAGCCACCTAGTCACCCTAGGTGAATAGCTGATGGGGGGGGGGGACACCTAATTCTGTCTCCCCAACTGCCTTAATTAATTGTGAATCCACCTCATAGTATGTTGTGGGTATCTCATGTGATACAAGTGCATAGACATAATCGTCAGATTGATAATAGAATAAGGCAAGAATAGAACTCGGGTAGAATAGAATAGAATAGAATAGAATAGAATAGAATAGAATAGAATAGAATAGAATAGAATAGAATAGAATAGAATAGAATAGAAATATGGAATGGAAAGGAATAGAATGGAATAGAATAGAATAGAATAGAATAGAATAGAATAGAATAGAATAGAATAGAATAGAATAGAATAGAAAATATGGAATAGAATAGAATAGAATAGAATAGAATAGAATAGAATAGAATAGAAAAATATGGAATGGAAAGGAATAGAATGGAATAGAATAGAATAGAATAGAATAGAAAATATGGAATAGAATAGAATAGAATAGAATAGAGAAAATGAATGGAATGGAATAGAATAGAATAGAATAGAATAGAATAGAATAGAATAGAATAGAATAGAATAGAATAGAATAGAATAGAATAGAATAGAGAAAAATGAAGGAATGGAATGGAATGGAATAGAATAGAATAGAATAGAAGAATAGAAAATATGGAATGGAATAGAATAGAATAGAATAGAATAGAATAGAATAGGAATAGAATAGAATAGAATAGAATAGAATAGAATAGAATAGAATAGAATAGAATAACAGAGTTGGAAGGGACCTTGGAGGTCTTCTAGTCCAACCCCATACTCAGGCAGGAAACCCTGAAATCCATTTCAGGCAAATGGTTGTCCAGTCTCTTCTTAAATTCCTCCACTAATGAAGCACCCACAACTTCTGGTGGCCAGCTGTTCCGCTGTTTAATTGTCTTCACTGTTAGGAAGCTTCCAGGTTGCTTCTCTCTTTGATTAGTGTCCATCCATTGCTTCTCGTCCTGCCCTCAGGTGCTTTGGGAAATAAGTCTTTGTGGCAGCCCCTCAAATATTAGGCCTTGATTATTTGAAGGGGCTGCTTGGGTATAATTCTTCTTCCAAAATTAGTGACAATATTAAGCCAAGGGAAAGAAAGTGAAGAGTAGGGGAAAGTCACAGAATAGACCAAAGACAGATGTCAGTGTATTAAATATTAAATATTGCTTAACTCATTGTAAGCCGCCTTGAGTCTCCGGAGAAGGGCGGCATATAAATCAAATTAAAAAAAATTAAATTAAATTAAATCAAATTTTTTTTAAAAATATCCTGATTCCTGAATTGTCTACTGAAACTAGCATCTCACTGGATCCGGTGCTCTTAGACAATCCATTAAGGCAGTGAACGCAGTGAATAAACATTAGAGGTGGTACTGCGATTGTGACAAAATCTGTGATACGTCTTTCATTTTTTTTATTTTATTTCTTTTATTTTAATTGATTTGTATCCTGCCTTTATTATTTTTACGAATAACTCAAGGCGGCGAACATATCCAACACACCTTCCTCCTCCTCCTCCTCCTCCTATTTTCCCCACAACAAGAACCCTGTGAGGTGAGTTGGGCTGAGTGAGAGTGATTGGCCCAAAGTCACCCAGCTGGTTTTCATGGCTAAGGCGGGACTAGAACTCACTGTCTCTTGGTGATTGGCCTAAAGTCACCCAGCCAGCTTTTATGGTAAGGTGGGACTAGAACTCACAGTCTCCTGGTGATTGGTCTATAATCACCGAGCCAGCTTTTATGGTAAGGCGGGACTAGAACTCTCAGTCTCCTGGTGATTGGTCTATAATCACCCACCCAGCTTTTATGGTAAGGCAGGACTAGAACTCACAGTCTCCTGGTGATTGCCTATAATCACCCACCCAGCTTTTATGGTAAGGCAGAACTAGAACTCACAGTCTCCTGATAATTAGCCTATAATAGTAATGGCTAACCTTTTTGCCATCGCGTGTCAGGAGAGGGGGGTGGGGGAGGGTTGTGCGCGCACATGCCCATGCGCGCGCAAACCCCCCCGCTCCTGGCACATGATGGCCTGGTAGGCCCGTTTTTCTTTCTTACCTGGTTCCAGATCCTCTCTATGCATCTGGGAAGGGCGAAAACAGCCTTTCTCACTCTCTCTGAGGCCCTTCGGAGGCCCTCCAAAGGCCTGAAACGGCCTATTTCCCAACTCCCAGTGGGACAGCAAAAAACATCACTTCCTGTTCCACCGGGAGTCGGGAAATGGGCCCTTTCAGCCTCCGTAGGCCCTCCAAGGGAGTGGGAAAGGCTGTTTTCGCCCTTCCCAGATAAATAGAGAGGATCTGGAGCCAGGTAAGAAAGAAAAACGGGCCTTCCCACCCACCCCCCAGGGCCTCCAGAGGCAGGAAACAGCCTGTTTCCCTACTTCTGGTGGGCCCAGAAGGCCTGAAAGTCAGCTGGCCGGTGCGCGCATGCGCCCCAGAGCTGAGCTGGCGTGCCCACTAATATGGCTCCGTGTGCCACCTGTGGCACGCGTGCCATAGGTTCGCCATCACGGGCCTATAATCACCCAGCCAGCTTTTATGGTAAGGCGGGACTAGAACTCAGTCTCCCAGTGATTGGCTTAAAGTCACTTAGCCAGCTTTCATGCCTGAGGCGAGACTAGAACTCACAGTCTGCTGGTGATTGGCTCAAAGTCACCCATCTGGTTTTCATGGCGCAGGCAGAACTAGAACTCACCGTCTCCAGCTTTCTAATCTGGAGCCTTAACCACTAGGCCAAACTGTCTTAACTCTTCCCAAATAAATCTGTGTTATGATTTTTCTCTAGAAGAGCCACAACGAGCCGAAATGCACAAAGAAAGGGAGGAAAAAAAATTTTTTCCTGCCTTTTTTTTTTTTCTCTGACAGGTTCAACTTCCAGATAGTCAACGAAATGACCCCGAACCTCTAGCAACCGAAGATGCTACGCAGTAGCCCTTCTCTTCAGAAACTCTGGTCTTTCTGTCTTGACGCGAAAAGACATTTTTATAAGCAAAAAAGATTGTGCAATACGTTAAAAGACATGGAAGGGAAAAAACGAGCCATTTTTTTTTTCAGCAACGAAAGAAGGGGAAAGCGATCAACTCCTCGCTGCGACTTGTTTTGTCCTTTTCAAGGATTCGAAAAAAGTAGCCGAGATGATCCTTTAATTTTAAAGTCCGACTTCCCGGAACGAGAACCGGATTGTTGTTGGAAAAGAGAACTTGTAATTCAGAAACTGCAATTAAATCGTGAAAACTATCAACTCTACATTCCCGGAGCACTGCAGAGTCTATTCATAAATGATAACCTTCAAAGGGAATGTAATTGGGAAAAGGTGTATTTTTCATAGGCAGCAGAGCGGGGAAATTTTGCAAACCGAAACTCAGAAGCTGTAAAAATTCTGTTTTTAAAATAGGGTGCGAGGTGTGGGGGGTTTTTTTGTTTGTTTGTTTTTAATCTCCCCCCATGTTTTTAAAATGTCAAGTTTTAAAATCCCAAGAAATGGAGAATGAATGCACAAGAAAGGAAATTAAAAATCTCGTCCTGGGAGCGTAGCATGTATACCGATCGACAAATGGGCTGTTTCAACCAATGTGGAAAAACCTTTTAGCGTTATCGCTTATTGTCAAACTCTTTCCGGAAAACAAAAACAAAAACGGCCCGATCAAAGAATCGTGGGCTCGTTGCATTGTAACTTGTGGAGAGTGATTGACAGCCTTAGGGGTACTTAACAAGCTGAAGAATCCATCATGGTTATTGTTAATTTACTTGAGTTTTAAGGTACCCTCCAAATGGATTACGATGGCGGAGCTGGCGTCGCAACGGTACGGCGGATGATCTTGAAGCTCCAAGATCGCCGTCGATGTCTTCACCACCTCTCCATATTTTTGTAGGCTGGTATATACAGGTAGTCCTCGACTTAACAACAGTTCAGTTAGTGGCCGTTTGAAGTTACAACGGCACTACAAAGGGGGATTTATGACCGTTTTTCACACTTATGACAGTTACAGCATCCCTATGGTCACGTGATTAAAATCCAGGCGCTTGGAAACTGACTCCTATTTATGACAGTTGCAATGTCCCCGGATATTGTGACCTCCTTTTGCAACCTCCTGACAAGCAAAGCCAGTGGGGAAGCCAGATTCATTTAACAACTCTGGCAAAATTCTAAAATGGGGCAAAAAGCAGGAGCCTGGATAGCTCAGCAGACTAATGCATTGTAATTTAACTCCAGCTGTCTGCAATTAGTAAGTTCGAATCTTGCCAGGCTCAAGGTTGACTCAGCCTTCCACCCTTTCTAAGGTAGGTAAATTGAGGACCCAGTTTGGGGGCAATAAGCTGACTTTGTATAAAATATACAAAAGTATGAAGGCTATTGCTTAACGCATTGTAAGCCGCCCTGAGTCTCCGGAGAAGGGCGGCATATAAATCAAATTAAAAAAAAAAATTCAATTGTCTGACTTAGCAACAGAAATGTTGGGCTTAATTATGGTCATACGTCGAGGATTACTTGTATCGGCTTGTGCCTTGCATTAAATCTTTCTTGAATTTATGGAAGAATGGACAAAAAGACTAGTGAAATTAGTGGGCAGTAATATTGCAGTAATATTGCAAATTAACTATGAATTTGACTGAATTGAATTCTGTGGCTTTTAATTTCACACTCTAATGCCATAAGTAAATATAGGACCAGGGGTGGGTTCTAAAAATTTTTACTACCGGTTCTGTCAGCATGGCTTATTTTGTGGCCGTGGCTTGGTAGTGGTGGTGGGTAATGTGACTGGGTGGCCAACTTTTTTTTTTTTTTTTTACTTTTAAAAGCATTTTTTCTACAACCTTAAGAGGTTTTAAAAGCCTCTGACGATCAGGCAACTCAGCTGGGATCGTCAGAGGCTTTTAAAGGCATTTTTTTTCCTACAACCTCTTGGGCTGAAGAGATTGCAGAAAAAAATGCTTTTAAAAGCCTCTGACGATCCCAGCTGAGCCGCGCGATCATCAGAGGCTTTTTTTTTTACTTTTAAAAGCATTTTTTTGGCCAAAGAGGTTGTAGAAAAAATGCTTTTAAAAGTAAAAAAAAAAATGCCTCTGATGAGGTGGGCGGGGTAAGCGAGCACAACCGGGCCGGGGACCGATTTGGGGGGCGTGGTTAGCCAATGTTATTACCAGTTCTCCAAACTACTACAAATTTTTACTACCAGTTCTTGTGAACCGGGAGCAACCCACACTGTATAGGACCATAATCTAAATTCTGAGCCTTATCTATTCAACTGATATGCAAAGCAGTCACTATGTTCCTCTGGTTGTCAGTGAATTTTATTCAACGTCCACAGCAGAGATGGTATTCAGCCAGTTTGCACCAGTTCGGGTGAACTTTAGCAGCAATTGCGGGTGAGGCTCCAAATCGTGCTATTTAGGCACATTTTCGAGGCCGGGCACATGCGTGGAAGGCACACAAAGTGAGCACGCACACTGGGCGAACCGGTGGTAAAGGTGAGTGAAACCCATCCCTGGTCCATGGCAGTGGTGGGTTGCCCCTGGTTCAGACCAGTTCGCAAGAACCGGTAGTAAAACCAGCGGGAGGTCCCGCCCATCGTCCCGGATGTCATCAGCGATCTGCGCATGCGCAATCCCGTTGCAAACTGGTAGTAAAGGTAAGTAGAACCCACCCTGGTCCACGGTCATCTGTAAAATGCCCATTATTTATTGGAAAGTTTAAGAGGAAAAACATAGGTTGCACACTTCGGTCCATCACAGTTTCCAAAAATATCCCCTCCATTGATGAATGACCAGTTCTGGAGAACCGGTATCGGATATTTTAAGTCGTTAGGAGAACCGGTAAATATCACCTCTGACTGGCCCTGCCCCCATCTATTCTCTGCCTCCCGAGTCCCAGCTGATCAGGAGGAAATGGGGATTTTACAATATCCTTCCCCTGGAGTGTGGTGGGAATGGAGATATTACAGTATCCTTCCCCTGCCACGCATGCTTTAAACATTGATATTCCATGTTGTCATTTGCCTTACTAGTCACTAGGTGCCATCCCTATTCTCACGATCACATTTTGGGGTATGTGCCTTTTGAGTACGAATTATTTAAAATAATATTTTTAAACAGCACCTGTGGATCCATAAGTGGCTTACAGATTTTCAAGACAATGTATGTATACATTGATGTAATTGTATACAATGATACAGTATTAACCGACGGTGCAAAACCCAGCAATATTAAGCTGCGTTTAGGCACATGAAATTCTTTGGAATTCGTTCAATGTCCTCGTGCGGAGTCATATCCCCAGTGTAAGTAAAGTAACATATATTTTTTTACACGCAGCACAGGGCTACAATATTGAGTAACCCTTGAGAGTTGACCCGTAAAATCAGCAAAAACGTAAATTCCATTTATTGAAAATGAGTAGACTGTTCAGTTCGGATAGCTTGAGGAAGCACATAATTCATGACCGAGTCCTAGAAATAAAATAAACATAGATTAGAGAGAGGAGAGGATATAGAGGATGGATGGATGCAGAGGTAACATTCAGCCAGTTCGGAATGGTTCGCCCAAACCGGTAGTGGAAATCGCGGGTGGGCCTGCCCACTCTCCCTGGCTTTATGCCACCCTATTTAGGCACATTTTTGAGGCCGGGCACATGCACGGAATGCATGCATGCGAGCAAAGAGCATGCGCGGAAGACCAGGCACATGTGCAGAAGGCATGCGTGCGCACAAACCAGGTGTGCGCGCACATGAAGTGAGTGCGTGCGCGGGGCGAACCGGTAGTAACATAATCTGAAACCCACTGCTGGATGGGTGAACAGATAGACACAGGTAGGTAGGTAGGTAGGTAGATGATAGATTGATAGATAAGATGGATGGATGGATAGATAACCGGTAGGTAGGTAGATACCAGTATGTAGATAGGTAGATACATGAGAGAAATGGATAGATAGGTAGATAGATAGATAGATAGGTAGATAGATGATAGATAGATAGATAGATGAGAGAGAGGAGATAGATATAGATGGGTGGGTGGGTGGATTAGAGATAGATGATAGATGATTGAGAGATGATAGATATAGATTGATGACAGATAGATAGAGATGGATGATAGATGAGAGAGAGAGAAGATAGATATAGGTGGGTGGGTGGATGATAGATGGTAGATAGATGATAGAAAGATGAGAGATGAGAGAGATGATATAGATGGATGGATGGATAGATAGATAGATAGATAGATAGATAGATAGATAGATAATAGATGGATAGATAGATAGATAGATAGATAGATAGATAGAGATAACCGGTAGGTAGATAGATACCAGTAGATATGTAGGTAGATGAGAGAGAGAGATGGAGACAGAGAAGGAGGGAGATCAATACTGGATATTTAATAGATATTCTATTTTCTTTTAACCTTATTGCTGATTGTAAACCTCTAAGCCGTCCAACCAAGTATTTTGCACATTGTAAAAACTGAGATCAGGCTGACAAAAGAACTCTCGCTCCCATTGCTGATACGTTCTTGAAGGAAATGTTTCCACTTCCGCTTTAGATGTAGGAAGCTTCCTTAAGAATGGTTAAAGTGGGTGTATATTGTAGTGCAGGCAAACATCTGTTTTCACAGCAACATCTGTTTCCTTATGAATTCAATAAGGCCAGGCAATGAAAACCCACCATATCTTCTAAGGAGGGGCGGGGGGGGGGGGGGGAACCAACCCCAGCTTGTTGACAAATTCACAAATTGGGGGGCGCTGAAATGGCTTGAGCATCTGCAGGCTGCCAGAAATGCATACGAAGGAAGAAATAAATACCCAACAGATAGAAATGTTAAGGATTAGCAGCTGTTCAAGAGGGAAAAAAGCCATCGGATCACACGGAAATTTCTGTTTGGGAAAACAGTTCCGGCACAGGTTACTTCGAAGGTCACAATTTTTAAAAAAAGACAATGGCATAATAATTGGTTTTAACCAGGGGTGGGCTTCAAAAATTTTAGCAAGAGGTTCTCTGCCCCGTTGCTGAGTGGGCGTGGCCTCATCAGCCTCCTGCACCACGGCGGGAGGGGGCATTTTTGCCCTCCCCTGACTCCGGAGGCTTTCCTCAAACCTCCAGGAGGGTGAAAACGGCCTCCCCAGGCTCCGGAGGCTCTCTGAAGGCCGGAAACAGGTCCATTTCTGGCCTTCTCAAACTTCTAGTAGGCCCGTTTTTTATTTATTTTATTTATTTATTGGCTCGATTTATATGCCGCCCTTCTCCAGAGACTCAGGGCGGCTTACAATGCGTTAAGCAATAGCCTTCATACTTTTGTATATACCTGCTTAGTAGGGCTTTCGGCCCCCTAAGCAGTGTTCTTTTTTATACAAAGTCAGCTTATTGCCCCCACAATCCGGGTCCTCATTTTACCTACCTCGAAAGGATGGAAGGCTGAGTCAACCTTGAGCCTGGTGAGATTTGAACTTGCAGTAATTGCAGGCAGCTGGTGCTACTTAACAGCACTTTAGTCTGCTGTGCCACCAAGGCTCTTTTTGCGCCCTCCTTGAGCCTCCGTGTGCGTCCTGCACTTACCTGCATCCAAAACGGCTGCTGTGGGGATTTCTGGGAGGGGACGGGCCGAGGGGGGGGCAACCATGAGTGGGATTTGGGGGTTCTCCGAACTGCACAGAATCTTAGCTAAAGGTTCTCTCGAACCCTTGCGAACCTCCAGCAGCCCCACTCCTGGTTTTAACCATGCAATTATTGAAGCAAAAGAAGAAGTTTGAAACTTGGCTTTTTGACAAAGCAAAGCAGCTTATTTTTTTCAAAAAATAGACCAACTTTTCTTACCCTAATAAAGTAATCCTTCACTTACGAACATTCGTTTAGTGACCATTCAAAGTTACGACGGCAACTGAAAAAAGTGACTTATTGACTGTTTTTTCACCGTTAGGACCCTTGCAAGATGATTATTATTTTTCTTTCTTCTCATCCAATACAGGAGAACATCTGCATCCTACTGTCAAGAGTTTGGGGAACAAGTTTAGCTGAGAAATGCAGAAACGAGAAATTCAAAATTGAATATATGTGCTGCAGGAAGGGGGGGGTGGAAATGGCTTGCGTAAGCAACAAAGTTAATAATAACCTGGTTTGTGATAAAGCGACAGTCCCTGGCATCGTCGTAAGAGGTGCCGTCAGAGGGGGTGATGAAAGCTGCTCCCGTTTCATATCTTTCAGGGCAGAAATATTTTGCATTTTTTGCAAACGCCAGTGAAATTTAAGCAGGAGGTTGCACACAGAGCTCACCTCTAGAGAGAAAATTTAATTTATCTATCTATCTTCAAGGCTGGTTTGAAAAGATAGAAATAAGCCATTTAGGTTGTTGGGAAGACTCAATTTTGCAGTGCATTGGGCAGATATTAACACACAAACACACACAAATACACAAACATGGCAATTGGGGGACAGGCTCAAGATATACAGCTAAAAAAAAAACCTGCATGTTTTTGTGTATTGTGCATCAATTCTGTTGTTGTTATTGTTGCTGTTGTTGCTGTTGTTGCTGTTGTTGCTGTTGTTGTTGTTGTTGTTGTTGTTGTTGTTGTTGTTGTTGTTATTATTATTATTATTATTATTATTATTATTATTATTATTATTATTATTATTATTATCCTGCAACAGAAATGGAAAACCAAGACTTCTGCAGTTCAGTTTAAAAATCTGATGCCCCCAATTTCTCTTCTAATCACAAACCTTCAGGCAATTTTTTTTTTAATGAAATAAGGAGATTGTTCAAAAGAAAAGCAAGCTTTTACACAATTTCAGCTTTCCGCTGACAGTAAGAAAAAACAACAACAACGAAGAAGGATCAATACAATTCTTGGACACGCTGGAAAAACCTACTGTACATTTTACAGCATTTTTTAAAACAAAAACCATTGTGAAAATACAGGTAGTCCTCGATATACGACCACAACAGAGCCAAAATTTCCATCGCTACAAAGCGAGATAGTTGTTCAGCGAGTTTTGTCCCAGTTTACATTTTGGGGTGTGGGGCGTAGTTGTCACAAGAATGACTAAACAGTTGTATTTAAATACAATTTAAATTTTGGGCTCAATTGAGGTCGTTAAGTCGAGAAATACCTGTTACCATTAAAAAATTAAGATGAACTTAATAGGAGCCTGAGTGGCGCAGCAGACTAATGCTACTGTTAAAGGTAGTATTTAGCTTCCAGCTGCCTGCAATTACTGTGAGTTCAATTCTCACCAGGCTCAAGGTTGACTCGGCCTTCCATCCTTTCTAAGGTAGATGAAATGAGGACCCAGTTTGTGGGGGCAATAAGCTGACTTTGTATAAAATATACAAAAGTATGAAGGCTATTGCTTAACGCATTGTAAGCCGCCCTGAGTCTCCGGAGAAGGGCGGCATATAAATAAAAAAAATAATAAAATAATTTTAAAAAAAACTTCTCTGGAAATCCATTCCTACTCCCACACCATTCAAAGGATGTTCATGCCAACTTGTATAGCTAAAAGTCTGCAGAGATTCTCGGTCATCTCAAAAGTACTTTTGTCCCCGAAGTGCTTTTTCAGGAGGCAACTGGACTTTTATGTTCTATGTTCTTGTTTTTTTTTCTTTTGAAGATGTTTTGCTTCTCATTCAAGAAGCTTCTTCAGCTCTGACAGGATTGTGGGGAATGGAAGGCTTGATATTCCTTGCAGACAGCTGGAAAAATTGCAATCCAACCTGTCAGTCCTAGAGATCAACCCTGATTGCTCTTTAGAAAGCCAGATCCTGAGGATGAAACTCAAATACTTTGACCACCTAATGAGAAGAAAGGACTCCCTGGAGAAGTGGCCTGATGTTGGGAAAGATTGAGGGCAAAAGAAGAAGAGGATGGCAGAGAACGAGGTGGCTGGATGGAGTCATTGAAGCATTCAGCATGAGCTTAAGTGGTCTCCAGGGGATGGTAGAGGACAGGAAGGCCTGGAGGAACGTTGTCCATGGGTTGCGATGGGTCGGACACGACTTCACAACTAACAACAACAACAGGAACCATTTGCACCACTCAGGTGACCCTGAGGACACAGAGAAACCTCCAAGTGGCCTCAATGACCCTCAAAAAGGATGCAAATGACCAGCTGTCGGCAAGGAACATAAATCCTTCCATTCCCCACCATCCGGTCAGAGCTGAAGAAGCTTCTGGGATGAGAAGCAAAACGTCTTCAAAAGAAAAAACAAGGAAGTCCAGTTGCCTCCTGAAAAAGCACCTTTGGGACTTACTGAATTATCTTTAAAGGGATAAGTTGCCTCTCGTCGTACATAATATCTCCAAATCCAAGTGAACCCACTGAAGATTCAGAGAGGACTACATTTCTCTCTCCCACCTAGTTTATAACTTTCAGGTATTGTTTTCTCCCAGGGTTTTAAATTTTAGAAAAACCACTGGATTTTTTTCTGAAGTACACCTTGTTTCAGAACCAAAACCAGTAACTGCATTCATCCAAATTATTTTAATATTCCCTCTCCTTCTGGAGCCACATCAACTAGTCTGCTTTTCTATTAGAAAACAGTGACAGCTTATAAATGTTGGGAGAGTTATATTATATATTAATCTTTTAGTCTTTTCCATTTACCGTATTTTTTGGAGTATAAGACGCATCTTTTTCCCCCCTAAAAGGGGGTGAAAATTTAGGTGCGTTTTATACACCGAATGTAGTCCCGCCACCCACTGGTCCCCACCCTTTGGCCTCTGCCTCGCAGCAGTTACCTCCTTGCAAGCAAAAGGCAAGAAAAAACAGCTCCTTTCAGCTTCAGCACAGCCTAATTAGCACAAGTTGATTAGATCGGCCTCCCGACTCCCAGCTGTTTTGCTCTCAGCTGTTTTGCGCAGGGCTCTGCTGCTTGCTGCAAGGAGGTAAATTGCTGTAGCAGATTTTTTTTTTCCTTGTGCTAATCAAGCTATGTTGAAAACGAAAATGAAAGTAAAGCAGGCTGTTTGCTGTTTGCTGCAATGAGGCAAAATTGCTCAGAGACAGAGGCAGATTTCTTTTTCTTTCTTTCCTCACCAAAAAAAGTTGGTGCGTCCTATACTCCGGTGCGTTTTATACTCCGAAAAATACGGTAGTCTTCTTAATCTCTACCAATGTATTATTGATAGAGTTGAGATATCCAGGCGTTATATTTTTATCACAGTTGAACTGAACTACTGACAAGCTGGAATCGGTATGAAAATATTTTATTTGATTTGAAATAATTGCAAATAAAACTCTGTTAACCGCACAGATTAGATCCCAAATAATATACAGAACAAATTGCTTTGCTTTAAGATACAGAAATGCTGGTTATGTTTTAAGATATACATTTACATTTTTAAATTACATTTTTTGTAATTTAAATTACATTTTTAAATTACATTTTTTGCATATACACAAAACAGTTATGGAAAAATAAAGCTTTCCCGAGAGTGTCACAGCGATGAATCTGCAACCACAGTCTCATTATAAAAAAAAAAGTTCTTTTTTTCGTATTTCCAGATGGGGATTTAAAATGTCTAGAATATCTTGTGAGCAGACTTTATTCTTCCAGCTGTGGCACTAAAAGAAGTTGGCACTTTTACATTTTTCTTTCCTCTTCCTAATAATTCCAATTTGTTTCAGGGAAAAAGCAATCTCTGATTCCAGAAGTTTCGGGGTTCAAAAAAGGCTTCCCAGCAGCGTAAATCAGAAAAGGATATCCCCGTGCTTGTAACATGCCACCAAGATTCAAGTTGTTAGTAACTGAATCTTAGTTGCGTTCACAAAACGTAGAAAGGTCTACAATACCCTGTTTCCCCGAAAATAAGACCCAACCGGAAAATAAGTCCTAGCATGATTTTTCAGGATGCTCATAAACCCTACCCCCAAAATAAGCGTTCCTGGGGAATCCCCCCACATGCTCCACTTCTCCAGTGGTGAATTCGGAGCTCCTGAGGGGTAAAGTAACAAAACCTTTTGGTCTCGGGCTTCCCTTGCCCCTTTATTACTGGCGGCCGCCATTTTGAAAAAGCTGAGTCATTGCGGCCACCATTTTGGGTGCTCCTCGTGGCTTCTGAGGCCTAACTACTGTGCAGGTCTTTATAGTGTCTGCATCCAGAAGCCTTAATTAAAGTAAAAGGGCTCTGTTTAAGGCCTCAATTTGCTTCCCTTTTCTTAATAGGGAATTTTCTCTGGCATTGAGTTATAGACTCAACTAATGGCCTCTCACCAAACCAGGGCCTCCAAATGCTCGGCTCGTATTTCCCCCAAAATAAGACCTAACCAGAAAATAAGCCCTAATGCGTCTTTTGGAGCAAATTATTAATATAAAGCTGGGACTTATTTTTGGGGAAACACGGTATATTTAGGGAAAGAAATAACACAGCCAAGTTTTGCACATTGGTTATAAACGACTGGATAATACCAAAGTCAATATATTGATAGAGAATCCTCTCTTTATCGCTGGATGCAAAATGCAACATTCAGATGTGAAAATTCACATCTGAGTAACAGTAACTGCGAACCTATTTGTCCTCCCCATTGTGAAAACTGTTAGGAAGGAATCCAGAAAAACAGAGTTGGAGGGGACCTTGGAGGTCTTCTAGTCCAACCCTCTGCTCAAACAGGAAACCCTGTATCATTCTGGACAAATGGCTTTCCAGACTGTTCCTGAAAACCTCCAGTGATGGAGTACAATTTCTGGAGACAATTCGTTCCTCTGTTTCATTGTTCTCACTGCTAGGAAGTTTCTCCTTAATTCCAGGTTGCTTCTCTCCTTGATGAGTTTCCATCCATTGCTTCTTGTCCTTCCTTCAGATGCTTTGGAGAATAGCTTGACTCCCTCTTCTTTGTGGCAGCCCCTGAGATATCGGAAGAGTGCTATCATGTCATCCCTAGTCCTTCTTTTCATCAAACTAGACATACCCAGTTCCTGCATCCGTTCTTCATATGTTTTATCCTCCAGTCCCCTAATCATCTTTGTTGCTCTTCTCTGCACTCTTTCTAAAATCCCAGCATCTTTTTCGTATTGCGGTGACCAGAACTGGATGCAGCATTCAATGCGTCTTACCAATGCAGTATAAAGTGATAATTAACACTTCATCTGATTTTGAAATGTTCACAGATCTCCAGCAGTTCCCTGTAATTCATTAAAAGTCTTCCTTTTTCTGGCTTCCATCCAAAACCTGAGAAAATCTTGGCATTTGTGTAAACTTTTATTAAAGGTCACTTTAAATTTAATAAGTTAAATCCTTAAAGCAGCAGTAGCACCTTGGACAGAAGCTGGGGGGGGGGGGAAATGTGAGCTGAACACAAACCCAGAGAAAAACATTGGGCTGACATGAAGCTTGAAGCATTTCATCCAAATTATTCTGAAAAATACCCAAGGGTGAGTTGGTGTTATCAAAAATTATATTTACAATGCCTTTCATTTCCTGGTATTTAAATAGCTTCTGTATTTTGATTCGTGTACTTAAAACAGTTAAATCGTATTGAATTATACCTACGGAAAGATATAAATAAGAGGAGGAAGAGTAGCAAAAGAGAATTAATTTAAACCAAATGGCATCTGAAACCAGAAGAAATAATTTTTTGTGCTGCCACACTTTTATCCTTTTCGTGTGGAATATTAAACACTGCTGTGTAATTAATATTTTTGTTTCACTTTAAAAGAAACGAAGTGGCAATGTTGCATGTCACGAGTATTTCACCCCGTCCTACTTCGACGAAATTAACTTCAGTGGTCTCGTGTAAATCTAGTGAATTCCTTCAAGTTAATCCAACGAAAAATGCTTCATTTTCTCTGCTAGCGCTTGCCTCATCACAATATGTTTCCTCAGGTTTTGCACTTCGTGGGACAGGTTCACATCCCAGATAGACACAGAAGAACTTATCCCTGTGAAGAAAATCATTTAAAAATAATCAGCACAAAAAATGGTGGGCATATTTGTCAGTTCTTGCATTTGCTGTCTTTTTAAAAAAAACAGGAGCCAAAATAGAGAGGTAGGCCAGGAGCTACAAATACTGTTGGAATTCATTGTTGGGATGTATTTCTATGCAACAACTACAGTAGTATTCAGCCAGTAGATGGCAGCATTTACAAGTTTGGATCTATGGCAGTGATGGCTAAATGTTTTGCCATCGCGTGCCAGGAGCGGGACAGGGGCACGTGCGTGCATGCCCACACCCATAATTCTATGCACCTTGCCCCTGCGCAAGCGACCCCCCACCCTTCCCTCACCCTGGCACGCTATGGCACGGTAGGCCTATATTTTGCTCTCCCCAGCCTCCAGAGCCTTTCTAGGAGTCTGGGGAAAGTGAAAACGCCCTTCTCCACCCCCCTAGAGGGTTCTGATTGACCAGAGGTTGGCAAATGAGCCATTTCCGGCCTCTGAAGGGCCTCTGGGGGGGGGTGTGGAAACAGACATTTTCACCCTCCCCCGACTCCTAGAAAGGCTCTGGAGGCTGGGGAAAGAGAAAAACGGGCCTTCCCCACCATCCCCCGAGGTCCGCCAGAGGCAGGAAACAACCTGTTTTCTTATTTCTGGTGGGCCCAGAAGGCCCGAAAATCAGCTGGCGTGCGCTGGAGCTGAGCTCATGTGCCCACCGATATGGCTATGCGTGCCACACAGTTCTATGGTATATGCTCTATGCTCTTTTGTTATAAATAGAGTTTCCTGTTTTCTGTTACAGTTCAAATAGTTAAGCAGTAAAGCACATGGTGACTGTGCTTTGTTTGCTCTCTGTGGTGCTGTATATAAACAGAATTTCTAACAAAGGGACAGGAAAGGAGAAAGGGAAAGAGGAAAGACAAAGAAAAATTAAAAGGAAAAGGAAAGATGGGGAGACAGCAAGGAAGGAAAAGTAAGGAAAGACGGGAAGGGAGAAGAAAGGAGAATGAAGAGGGAAGGAAGGAAGGAAGGAAGGAAGGAAGGAAGGGATGTAGGTTATAATGTGAGTGAGGGAAGGTCTCAGGGAAGTCCTGCCTTAGCACTTGGCCACCACAGGTGCCCCCAATATAAGTCCTATGTCACACCATGTCCATGCCCACCCCTGGCCATGCCCAGCACCACCCCGGCCTTCCGAGGTCAAACACAACCCTGATGCAGCCCTCGATGAAATTGAGTTTGACACCCCCGATGTAAACTGTATACTAATTTGTCAGCTGTCCCAGAACTACATGCTGCTTCTGCTCTACTGATCTTTCCAATTAGCCTCCATTTTATTTTTCAGCGCATTCCTCCCAGCTTGGAACTGAACCAGTTGGATTTTTATTCCTACAGCAGCCGTGATTATGACTAAAGTCTTCTTTTTTTTTAACCACATCCTACGGATCGTCTTGCCAGAGCTAGTATTGTGGCCCGCTGCAAAATGGGAACAGATGAAGAACTGATCATCCTTACCTTTAATGTGTCCGTCTTCACTCTCTTCTTCCTGGCTATAACCCAAGATTAAAACAACATTCTTGAGGGCACCTTGGATCAAAAGAAAAAAACCCAATTAAAATTCCATCCTTTATTCTTCAAGGAACTCTCCTGTCAAAGCAGACACATTGCATCAGAAAGTGGGGTGCGAGATTTGGCAGGTCTTCTTTTCCCCATTTTGGGGAAAACTTCGGAAAATCCTGCTTTATCAGACAAATCAAACAAACACAGAGTAAAACTTCTTGATGCTAAAACCATGAGTGGTGGAGGTTTTTTTTCTTGTATATACGCATCACTATTTACCTAGTTGGGTTGTCATCATGAATCTCACCGAACGACAGAAATCATGTATTATCCATATGGGGAGGCGGGTGGACAGGTCAAGCAGTAAGAGGTGGCCTCCTCCGGTGCCGACCCACAATGCCGTATTTTTCTGAAGGCAGATGCTCTTCACTCGTCCCGGGTAAGCGAGTTTTTGTTTTGATTCTGTGTTCAGTTTTGGTACCCCAGCTCTGAAAAACAGGAGAGCCTGTCATGTCTAAGCCGTGTCATATTTTTCATGCTTTTCTTTTCCTTTGTTCCTTTTTATTAGTTGATAAACTAATAAGAAAGTTAAATGGTAAACTGTGTCAGATCACGTTCTTCCATTTGGAAGGTAAGAGATGAGATGAGATGAGATGAGATGAGATGAGATGAGATGAGATGAGATGAGATGAGAGATGAGATAAAATAAGATGATAAGATGATAAGATAAGACGTAAGAGATGAGAGAAGAGATAAGAGATGAGATGAGAGATGAGATGAGATGAGATAAGATGATAAGAAAAGAGAAGAGAAGAGAAGAGAAGAGAGAGAGAGAAGAGAAGAGAAGAGAAGAGAAAGAGAAGAGAAGAGAAGAGAAGAGAAAGAGAAGAGAAGAGAAGAGAAGAGAAGAGAAGAGAAGAGAAGAGAAGAGAAGAGAAGAGAAGAGAAGAGATGAGATTGTTGGGGCCCGCCAGCAGCCAGCAGAGCTGGCAGCAGATTCGGACAGTGAGGAGGTTGGGGAGGAACATGGGCCGGTCCTGGAGTCTGGGGAAGGCTCTGACGCAGGCTCTGCGTCAGAGGCAGAGATGGGGCCAGAGCCGCATGACAGCTGTCAGCTGCCTTCGGAGTCGGACATCAGTGAGGCAGACGAACAGCTGGAGCCTGTTCCCAGTGTGCGCATGCACAGAGCTGCCAGACGAAGGGAACAGCTAAAGAACAAGGGTCAATTTGGGAGTAAAGGCACAAGTGGACGATGTATGGCCCCTCCCAGAGGGAATAAAAGAGGAGCGAAAGGGGAGGGGAGTTTGCAGGAGACAATTAGTTCACTTAATTTGTTTGTGACTCCTGGCCAAGTTTTGATGGTATCGGCCTGGCAGCTCTCCAAGCCAGAGAAGGTCTGTGTCTGTAAATTCCCCCTTGAAAGACTTTGCTGAGTGTGAATGAGAAAAATTCACAGTGACTTAATAAAAAAGGGGTTTTGTCAGGAGAAAGAGTCTGCTTCGTGGTTTGGGAACGCCTAGGTCAGAACAAAGATAATATAAGAGAAAGATGAGAGATAAGATATAAGAAAGATGAGATGAGAGATGACATAAGATGAGAGATATGAGAGATAAGATGATAAGAAGATATGAGACATGAGAGATGAGAGAGATAAGATGACAAGAGAGATGACAGATAAGATATGAGAGATGAGAGATGAGAGATAAGATGGTAAGAGAGATGAGAGATAAGATAATATAAGAGATGAGAGAGATGAGAGAGAAGATGATAAGGTAAGGTAAAGTAAGGTAACTTTGTCATTTTTTTTACTGTGAGCGCAGTGGCTCACATGAAAAATGAAATTCTGTTGCCTGCTCTCAAGAGAAAGTATATATCTACCCAAATACCTACATAGCACACATATATACACATGCTATGTACATAAATAAATATATACCTGCACCTATACATATATATATACATATATATAATCACTGTCCATTTTGAATTTGTAGCGGAAAGAGGAACACGAGGTTGATGCTATCCTGTGACTGAATCTAGATGTTCAAAAAATCAGACCAATTTATTTGTCCTAATTATCTCAGCCACTCGTGAGATACTGCGGACTCTGTGGGATATCCGATACTCACTTTAGTAGATGCACACAGTCTATTAGTTCACAAAGCTTCTCTGTCTTTTTGTCCCAAATCTCAACGAAATAGCTGTCCTTCTTTGCCAAGTAGATAAATTTGTCTACTGCTATAGAAATAATATTGGCATCGCAGTAGTCCTTGTGACATAACCTGAGACACACACACAAAAAGAAAAAGGAAATCAGAAAAGCAGTGGTGAAATCGGTTTGGGGGGGGCGTGGCTTGAGGGGGCGTGGTGTGGCTTGGGGGGCGTGGCAGGGGAAGGATACTGCAAAATCCCCATTCCCTCCCCACTCCTGGAGGAAAGGATATTGCAAAATCTCCATTCCCACCCCACTCTGGGGCCAGCCAGAGGTGGTATTTGCCGGTCCTCCGAACTACTCAAAATTTCCACTACCAGTTCTCCGAACTGCTCAAAATTTCCGCTACCAGTTCTCCAGAACCTGTCAGAACCTGCTAGATTTCACCCCTGCAGAAAACGATGTTGTGGTGTTTACAACACAGGCTACAATGCATAAACTGATGAAGGTGATTGTCAACCCTGACAGAGGCCATTTTGAGACTTCAGTGCTGACACAACAGAGAAGAGAGATAGGGGAGGTGGGGAATAGAGATAGTTGGGGTGTTCTAGCCAAAACAAAATACTTTCTCGTGGGAACCAAGGACATTCCTGTGGGTGCTCGGAAGGAGGGGAATGGAGTCACCTAGCAACTGGACAGTATCCTGATTGGACCATGTGACTGATTGTTTTGAGAAAGTGACAAATGTTAACTTTTAGTTAGGTGGGAAACCGTGAGAATATTCAGAGTCGGGTTTACCACCAGCCTGTGCCAATATGACATCTCCAATAAACCTATTCTTCGAGGAAATTGCCTGCCTCAAGAGTTTTGTTTGCTATGGGTATGTTACTTGGAAACCTGACAGTGATAAGCAAATCAGATCCGGTGATACCATAATCTCTCTCTCATTGTGGCTGGGAAGTCCTGCCCCATCCTTGGAAATGGATGGGGAATGTAGATTTTAGGTGTCTTTTGTCTCTCTCTCTGTGCTTTTTAATCGGATCAATTCCAGCCTTCTGTGGAGGTTGTAGCTGAAGGCATTTTGTTTACGAGTTGAATAGTTTGTCTTGGTGAATGGAAACTATCTATTCACAGGGGCCGGCAACTTGAGTGGTTTTACTTCAGGAAAGCCTTTTCTCTTCCGGGGTGGGGGGCGGAAGGGGGCATTTCTTTGCTAATGTAGGAGGTTTCTTATATTAAAAAAAGGGGAGAGGGAAATTCTCCTCACAATTCATTCCAAATTACAATGGCGCTGAAGACGTTGCCATCGTAGCATCCCCAGGGTGACACGATCACAATTCCGGCACTTGGAAACCAACTCACAATTATGGCAGTTGCCATTTGTGGTCTCCGTTGACAAGCAAAGTCATTGGGGAAGCTGGCAGGAAGCTACAAATGGCAAACATGGAGTTGGGACTTGTGACTGCGTGGAATTCACCTAACTGCGAAATAAAGTTGGTGTGATCACATGATCTTTGCATTTGACAGCCGCATCGCTTAGTGACAGAACTCATCTCCTTTTAATGACCCCATAATCCCCTGCAGGGTGGAGTCTGGGCAACTGAACAGAGCTGTTGTGGTCCACCAGCAGCCTGTGGAGCTGGCAGCAGAGTTGGACAATGAGGAGGCTGAGGAAGAACATGGGCCAGTCCTGGAGGCTGGGGAAGGCCCGGATGAGGACTCTGCGTCGGAGGCAGAGATGGGGCCAGGGCCATCTGGGAGTGATGTGCAGACTCCGGAGCCCCCAGAGTCGGACAGCAGAGAGGCAGAGGAACAGGAGGAGCCTGTTCCTAGTGCACGCATGAGAAGAGCTGCCAGAAGGCAAGAGCAACTAAAGCAAAAAGGACGACTCAGGAGTAAGGCCAAGAGATGATTGGCCGCTCCTATAAGGCTTAAAAGACCAGCAATGGCTCTTGGGCTCTTTGTCGGAATACAATGTTGATAGATTTGTTTCTTGTCTTGCTGCATTTATTTCTTGTCGGCGTCTTCTGCTTCTGAACTTTTGCCAAGAAAAGACTTTGGCAGGTTGCCAAAGTAGACCAAGGTTGGTGATAAGGCTGAAGAATTGTGTTATGAAGAATTTTGTTTTGAATTAGTTTGGACTATGCTGAGAATGAGTTAATTCTCAGCTGTTCTAATAAAATCTATTTGTTTAGAACTGATTGCGTCTGATAATACCTACTTGGGCCTGGGCCACAACAAGAGCTGAGTGTTTACTGGCCGGATGCCCTTGCTGTCACCAATACGGAGTTATATTCAGCAGATATATTCTCAACCTGACCAAACTGTTGGCCCCAAATTACCATCACTAAGCGAGGACTTAAATAAAGGACACTTGCTGCTTCTTGATTTCTGTTTGTCTAGGCATTTTCTCTCTCTCTCTCTCTCTCTCTTTTTTTTTTTTTTGGGGGGGGGGGATATTAAAACAATAAAACAAAATTTAGGAACCCTCAAAGTGCCACGGGAAATACGCAGACAAGATCATCTGCGCAGCTGATTTTTCCAGACAGAGTGAATAAGAACTAAATTGCGTTTTTTAGGAATGCAGGTAGAAGAGAGGAAAAAAAAAACTGGTCAAAAATAAGCAAGACAAACGTACAGCTGACTCGTCTTGGTCTCAATGAGTTTGTGGGTAGACAAGTCGCTGGACAACGATAATATTTTGGATCCACAGCCGCCCCAGATGGTACTTCTGTCAGAGGAATAATTTGATTCACTTAAACACATCAGGGGAGTGCTGTCACTTCCGACGAGAATCGTCCTTAAGGGTGCGGCACATTTGCCCTGAAGAGAAAACACAAGAAAATAAACACAGAACATAAAATAATAGAGTTGCAAGGATCCTTGAAAGTCTTCTAGTCCAAGCCCCTGCAGGAGACCTTGTATCATTCTGAACACATGGTTGCGGGAAGGGGGGGGAGGATTGAAAAATTTCAGCAACTGGTTCGCTGTCCCGTGTGTGGCCATGGGTGTGTGGCCTACTCAGCTCCCTGCACCACGGTGGTGGTGGACATTTTCGCCCTCCCCAGCCTCCAGGAGGGCAAATAGGCCTCCCCGGACACCAAAGGCCCTCCAGAGGCCGGAAACATAGGACCGGAAGGCCCATTTTCCGCCCTCCCCAGGCTCCAGAGACTTTCTAGGAGCCTAAGGAGGGTGAAAAACAGGCCTTCCGGTCCCATCGGAAGTCAGGAAACAGGCCGTTTCCGGCCTCCGGAGGGCCTCCAGGGGTGGGGAAGGCCCGAAAATCAGCAGGCCGGTACACACATGTGCGCTGGAGCTGAGCTAGGGCAACGCTTGTGTGCCCACAGATATGGCTCCGTGTGCCACCTGTGGCACGCGTGCCATAGATTCGCCATCATGGATCTATACAATTCTGTTTCATTTTATTGCTCTCTCTCTTCCTGCTATTAGTTGTCAAAATTTAAGAAAGCGTAAACTTTCTATATTAACGCAAAGGAAGGGTTTATTATGAACGTGTCTGCCATTAATTACATATCTCTTGGAAGACTGTAGTGAATATGTACCTTGACTGCCCGGTCCTCAAAAATGGCCAGCTGTCCATTGGCTGTACCCACCAAAAAGACATTCCTGTACTTGCTGAAATTGAAGGTGAAAATGCACAAATGAATTAAATTTAAATGCATTAAATGCATTGAATGAAACAAAGACTTTCAGCATTGAAGCCGTGCGGTTAAACGTGTAATCCTGGAGATAAGAAAAGCTGAAATTGCCGGCCCATGTACCAAAAGGACAACTAAATATGTCAACCTCAAAACAGCCCCACAATGAGCCCTGTGTCAAAAGTCAGCAATAATTCCGATCATGCGGTGCGCAATCATACAATAATGTCTAAATACATGATGAGTAACTGAGTCGTTTCATAAAAAAATCAATACTTCTGTATTTTTAAGGCCATTTTGAAGCAATGTAGAGTATGGAATGGAATCTAAATTCAGCTGTAGTGTAGGAGCGGTAGAACCTGGGGGCGGAGTCAAAAGAGACACCAGCCTAGAATCCCTACGTAGCCACAAGCAGACTAAGCCCAACCCACCTTGAATTCCAGTGATCCTTATCTAACTCTAACCAGGTGCTGTTAGCAGGGAAGAGTCCTGCGCATCGGTTTTTAGTAATACATCAATTTAATTTAGACCTTCACAATTGAACCTGGTCTTTTGTGCCTGACACGTACTTATGCTGTGACAATAATGTCTAAATAAATTATGACTAACTAAGTCGATTCATTAAAAAATCAACACTTCTGTATTTTTAAGGCCATTTTGAAGCAACGTAGAGTATGGAATGGAATCTAAATTCAGCTGTAGTGTAGAAGTGGTAGAACCTGGGGGCGGAGTCAAAAGAGACACCAGCCTAGAATCCCTACGTAGCCACAAGCAAACTAAACCCAACCCATCTTTGACCCTTCTCTAACTCTAACCAGGTGCTGTTAGTTGCAAAGATCCCTACGCATCCGTTTTTAGCAATAAATCAATTTAATTTAGACCTTCACAAAAGGACACGGTCTTTTTGTGCCCGACACGTACTTATGCTTTGACAAGGGACTGCAGTAAAGGCAGGTGACCGAATCAGACATTGTGTGAAACCGATGTTTGCGTTCTCCATCTTGGGTGTGAAAAGCCCAGAGGGATCCTGACTGGGTTCCTGCAATCACCCAGTTCTCCTTCTCCGCAGAAAATGTCACCAAGGCCAAGCACAATATCCTAATATCGTCAACGTCCTGTGAGAAGAGAGGGAGGGGAGAAAAAGAGGAAACTTTGGACCACGAATTCATCAAAATAAATAAGGAAAAGAAATATGAATCCTAACGTGCATTCGATGTGCTTGGACCTACAATGGCTTCGTTAATTAAAGCAGAGGTCCCCTGGTTTTGTGGACTGGTGGTGACCACAGTAGTGGGGGGAAAGAGAGAGGGGATGGTTAGGGTTAGGGTTACAAACAGGCTGCGGCCCAGTACCAGGCCACGGCCCAGGTATTTGGGGACCCTTGAATTAAAGCATCTAGGGAAGGGTTTCTCAAGCTTGACAACTTTATGACAGGAGGACTTCAACTCCTAGAATTCTCCAGTCAGCTGTTGTGGCCCATCAGCTGATCTGGCAGCAGATTTGGACAGTGAGGAGGTTGGGGAGGAACATGGGCCAGTCCTGGAGTCTCAGAAAGGCTCTGATGAGGGCTCTGCATCAGAGGCAGAGACGGGGCCAGGGCCGTCTGACAGTTATCAGCTGCCTTTGGAGTTAGTGAGGCAGAAGAACAGCTGGAGCCTGTTCCCAGTGTGTGCATGCGCAGTGTTGCCAGATGAAAGAAAGAACAAGGGTCGACTAGGGAGTAATGCCACAGGTGGACGATGAAGGGCCCCTCCCAGAGAGAATAAAAGAGGAGCGAAAGGGGAGTGGAGTTTGCAGGAGACAATTAGTTCATTCCTGCATTCTTGCCAAATATTGCGACGTCTGAAAGATCTCGGCCTGGCCAATCTCCAAGCCTGATAAAGGTCGGTAATTGTGAACTATCTTGAAAGACTGCGGGAGAGGAAAGACTTTGCTGGAGAGGAATTCACCGTAAATTAAATAAAAGGGGGTTTATCGGAATGAGGATTTGGCTTCGTGCTGGTGGGGAAGCCTTGGTCAGAGCACCAGCCATGGAGAATTCTGGGAGTTGAAATCCATCTGTCTTAAAGTTGCCATGGTTGAGAAACATTGGTCTATGAGGTTCAGTATCATTCGATGGCTAAGTCCACAGACGCACTAAGCCAATTTTTTTCGCTCGGTTTTGGCTTAGGATGATATGATATGTGAGGCCACCACTATGAAGTAACTGAAACAACAGAATAACAAGAGCTTGAAGGGATCTTGGAGGTCTTCTATCTAGTCCAGGGGTGTCAAACTCAAGGCCCGTAGGCCGGATCCAGCCCTCGGGGTGCTTAGAACTGGCTTGTGGGGCTGACCTGGAAAAAGCAAATGACCGGCCCACGGTGTCTCTGCCAGCGAAAATGGAGCTCCATTTCCGCTGGCAGAGGGTTGCAGGAGGCCGTCACTGTCAAAAACGGAGCTCACATGGGCTGCCTGCGACCCTCCTGAGCTCGGTTTTCACTGGCAGAGGGTTGCAGGAGGCTGCCGCAGCCAAAAACGGAGCTCGGGAGCCCATTTTCACTGCACATGTGTTTAAATATTTTTGGGGAGGGCTTATTTTTTGGGAGGGCTTATTTTCAGGGGAGGCTTTATTTTCGGTGGAGGGCTTATTTTCAGGGAAACACGGTATTATTATGCAAAGCAGATAAACTCAGGCAGCGCATTGTTCACGAAGCACGTATGTTTGTATAAGAAAAACGTATAAATAAGATATATAATAATAGATTGAAAAACAAATCGCGAAGCATCAATTGGAAGGTCGACCTTGGAACCTACTTTACAGGTGCCTTCATCGGTATTTACGTCGACAAATGACAGCTGGGCTTCCCCTCTGCCACCACTTCCGATCCAGATCCCGTTTTTTTTGTTACTTTGGTTTATAGCCACCATGCACTCCGACATAAAAGGAGAGGGCACTGGAATGTGTCTCAGGAAACAAACTAATTCGGCAGAGTTCAACATTTCATAAACCTGCAGATACCACATTAGAATAGAATAGAATAACAGAGTTGGAAGGGACCTTGGAGGTCTTCTAGTCCAACCCCCTGCTTAGGCAGTCAACCTTATAGCACTTCAGATGAATGGTTATCCAATCTCTTCTTTAAAACTTCCAGTGTTGGAGCATTTACAACTTCTGGAGGCAAGTTGTTCCACTGGTTAATTGTTCTCACTGTCAGGAAATTTCTCCTTAGTTCTAAGTTGCTTCTCTCCTTGATTAGTTTTCACCCATTGCTTCTCGTCCTGCCTTCCAGTGCTTTGGAAAATAGTTTGACTCCCTCTTCTTTGTGGCAGCCCCTCAAATATTGGAAGACTGCTATCATGTCTCCCCTATTCCTTCTCTTCACTAAACTAGACATACCCAATCCCAGCAACCGTTCTTTATATGTTTTTAGCCTCCAGTCCCCTAATCATCTTTTGCTCCTCTCTGCACTGTTTCTAGAGTCTCAACATCTGTTTTATCGATCTGTTTTATCTGTCGATGTTGGCGACTCTGTTTCTAGAGTCGCCAACATCGTGGCGACCAAAACTAGATACATTAGTCAACAACACAGTACCGTCTAATAGCGTCTATTTTTTGCTAAATGTTTTTGCATGCAAAAGTTCCTAACGCTAAAATATGTAGCATTGGGAACATCTGTGTCTCTTTTACTGATCTCTACTGAGCCTACCTGGTCAGATGTAGGTCTTTCTTGAGGATTTTCTTTCAAGCATTTCTTAATTAAATCTTCAAACCTTGGCCAGGGGGTACAGCCGTATTCTTTGACAGGATCTAGAATAGATAATTCTGAGCTTAATTTGGAGACTCGCACTACAGAGACTAACATTTGTCTTGTAAAAGCACAACCTGTTTAAGGGGTCCTTGGTGTTCTCTGAGTTTGGTGGTTTTGTTCGAAATTCTGTTTATATAAAGCACTCCAGAGCAAACAAAGAGTACAATCACCATGTGTTTTACTGCTTAACTATGTAACAGGAAACTCTACTTAGAACAAAAGAGAATAGAGCATATACCATAGATTCAAATTTGTAAACACTGCCATCTACTGACTGAATACAACCATAGTTGTTGCATAGAAATACATTCCAGCAATGAATTACAACAGGTTTCCTTGCAGACACTTCACTACCAAGCTAGAGAACATTCATCAGCGTTGGGGTTTAGCCCTGATGATGTTCTCTAGTTGGGTAATGAAACATCTGTAAGAAAACCACTAAGCTCAGAGGGCAAATATTATTAGACATGATTGAACAGATTTTTTTAAAAAAATGCTTAAGATTCTAGTCTTCCTTACAATCCACATTTGGAGTTGTAACCTTTTGCTTTCATTTTAAAAAAACAAAACAAATGAAATTCAAACATATCCAAATTAGGACTGAGAATTAGCATGTTTCTGTGTTTTGTTTTTACATTTGCTGGACAGAGTAAGGCAAGGTAGATTAAGGTACAAATGTATAGTGCGTATAATAACCAGACAGAAAGAAAATGGAACATACCTGGAAGTTTTCCATGGATAGCTAATTCATCAAATTCATTAGGAAATTTTATACCCTCTAATATTCTCCCGCCAGCTGTCAAAATGTCATACAGGAGCAAGCCAAATGAATAAACATCAGCTTGCTGATTGTAAATAACATTTCCTCTTGCAACTTCTGGTGCTCTAAATCCTTTTTTTTTAAAAAAAAAAAGAAAGAAAGAAAAATAATCCACAAATCATTCATTGTTGAACAGTCTTTACTAGGCAGATGCTGTTCTTGTTTTAATTTCAGAATCTTAAATGATATTAAATGCCTTTGGAACACACAAACAAGAAAATCAAAATATTATTTATGTTGCATAAGATACATAAATTCTCCAGAAGGCAATTATGAAAAGAAAACTGTTGGGACCAGTTAATAACAACAAGTGTCTGTTTTCTCCATAATATAGCCAAGTGATCGGAAACATTTTATGTTGGTAACATCAACAGACACAGAGACATAAATAACAGCTACATACTGTGCAAAAGAGACAATCAACAAGCCAAAAAGGGAACAGAAAAACCAAAACAACAAGTACCTACACATTCCTTTAACCATCTTTTTTTGAATCTAGATCTTGATTACTATACAGCCCTAACATACAGGTCTATCAGAATGTGAAGACAACAAAAATTGGCAAAAATGTTTAGTAATCTCTCTGCCAAAAGTTGGAAACGCAACCAGACCCCAGGTACCTATTATCATATGTGGTGGAAGTGTACAAAAGCAAGAAAACATTGCTTCTCCCAATGTAGCTGGTTGGAAAAGATAACTAAACAGAATATAGACCTGAAAGCAGAAATATATCTGTTGGGATTAATACCGGAGGGTTTTGACAAAGGGACCGCTTATTTAGTTTTACATATATTGACAGCAGCAAGAATTATATTTGCTAAATACTGGAAAAATGAGAACACCCCAGAAGATGAGGAAGTAATTCAAAAATTTTGGACTGTGCTGAAATGGAGAGGCTAACTTTAAAAATAAAAGATAAAGAAGACACAGAGTACTATTCGATATGGTATAGATTTTATGAATCGTTAGAGAAAAGAGGTAGAAATTAGAGGAAGAAAGGCTACAAAAATTTGTATTAACAATTGAGAAGATTTATAACTGCAATCATAATTAATAAAAATATAAATAAGCCAATATAAAAAAAAACTTAGTTAAAAATTTTTGGTTATATTATTACTATTATTTTTAGTACACGTGTTATATTATTATTACTATTATTAGTTCATGTGTTAATATTTATTAATATTTTCTATTTGACCCTTTTTTCCCTCTTTTTCTTGTAAATGGTATACCCTGACAATACACTGTATTCAAAAATATTTATGAATAAAACAATTAAAAAAAAAGAATGTGAAGAAAACAATTGGCTAAATCAGTGGCCCCCAATCTTTTGGGAACCAGGGATTGGTTCTGTGGAGAGAAGTTTTTTCTGTGGACCAGAGAGAACGTGGTTTCATGTGCTGCCTGCATCCCACAGATGGGCTTTGCTTGTTTGCATGGCACAGTTTCTGGCATGCTGCGGCCCGGTGCCGATCCACGGATTGGGGTGTTGGGGACCCCTTGGCTAAATAATTCATTAAAGCACGGGTGAAATTCATTTATCTTCCCTCTGCATGCGCAGAGGCTGAAAATCATCGCAAAAAAGGGACATAATAATGTCTGCGTGGGTGGGCCAGGCTTCGTGCAGTCGGCCCTACCGTATCGTGTGATCCGGTACGAACCGGCTGAATTTCACCCCTGCATTAAAGGACTGAGCCAGGAGGGTAAATGGCTCATTGCGTTTCTGTTCAACGAATCCATTCATGTTTGTTTGACTAAACAACTTCCAATTTCACCTGAGTACCTCAGAAAGTCCTTGTTACCCAGATGTAGGAGCTACTGAATTGTTGATACCTGGTGTGCCTTCGGAGGTTTTTATTCCCATTCGGCAACAATATTGGGAAATGCCGTAATCGGCAATCTTGGCAATGACCGCTGAATTGGGATAAAGCGTGAAGAGCAAGACGTTGTGAGGTTTTAAGTCGCGATAGATGATCATGGAAGAATGTAGGTACCTGGTATGAAAAAAAAAAGACAGAGATGTACAAGAGAAGAAGAGAAATAACATCGTGTACATATGATGGTGCTTATATCCCAAAGATTTAGAGTAGGGGGGTCCAACTTTGGCAAATTGAAGACTTGTGGACTTCACCTCCCAGAATTCCCCAGCCGGTCATGAATTCTGGGAATTGAACGCCACAAGACTTCGAGTTATCATGATTGGTCAGCCGTGGTGGCGCAATAGTTAGAATGCTGTAAAGTAAAGGTAAAGGATCCCCTCGCTAGTCGTTCCTCACTCTGGGGACAGTGCTCATCTCCGTTTCAAAGCCGAAGAGCCAGCGCTGTCCGAAGACATCTCCATGGTCATGTGGCCAGGATGACTCAACCCCAAAGGCGCACGGAACGCTGTTACCTTCCCACCAAAGGTGGTCCCTCTTTTTCTACTTGCATTTTTTACGTGCTTTCAAACTGCTAGGTTGGCAGAAGCTGGGACAAGTCACGGGAGCTCACCCCGTTCCGCGGCACTAGGGATTCGAACCGCTGAACTGCCGACCTTTTGATCGACAAGCTCAGCGTCTCAGCCACTCAGCCACTGCGTCCCTGTGTAGAATGCTGTATTACAGGCTAATTCTGCTGACCAGCAGGGGTCTGTCCTCAAGCTTGATTCAGCCTTCCATCTTTCCGAGGTCGGTCAGACCCAGATTGTCAGGGGCAATACGCTGACTCTGTAAACCGCTTAGAGAGGGCTGTAAAGCACAGTGAGGCAGTATATATGTCTAAATGCTATTTCTATTCATTCTTCCCTCCCTCCCTCCCTCCCTCCCTCCCTCCCTCCCTCCCTCTCTTATTCACTTTCTCATTCTCCTTCCTGGTGGCACAGTGGTTAGAATGCAGTATTGCAGGCTGACTCTGCCCACAGCCAGCAGTTCAATCCTGACTGGCTCAAGCTTGACTCAGCCTTCCATCTTTCCGAGGTCGGTTAAATGAGGACCCAGATTGTTGAGGGCAAGAGGCTGGCTCAGTAAATCATTTAGAGAGGGCTGGCGCAGTGGTTAGAATGCAGTATTGCAGGCTGACTCTGCCGACTGTCAGGAGTTTGATCCTGACAGCCTTCTGTTTATCCGAAGTCGGTCAAATGAGGACCAGTGGTGGGTTTCAAATTTTTTTACTACCAGTTCTGTGGGTGTGGCTTGGTAGGCGTGGCATGGCTTGATGGGTGTGGCTTGGTGGGCGTGGCAGGGGAAGGATACTGTAAAATCTCCATTCCCACCCCGCTCCAGGGGAAGGATACTGCAAAATCCCCATTTCCTCCCGATCAGCTGAGACTTGGGAGGCAGAGAATAGATGGGGGTGGGGCCAGTCAGAATTACTCAAAATTTCCACTCCCAGTTCTCCAGAACTGGTCAGAACTTGCTGAAACCCACCTCTGAATTCATTATTGCAGGCTGACTCTGCCCACTGCCAGCAGTTTGATCCTCACCAGGCTCAAGGATGACTGAGCCTTCCATCCTTCCAAGGTGGATAAAATGAGGACCCAGATTGTTGGGGGAAATATGCCGACTCTGTACACCGCTTAGAGAGGGCAGTAAAGCACTATGAAGCGGTATATAAGTCTAAGTGCTCGTGCTATTGGACATCCCTTATAGATATAGGTAGATAAGAGACCCAAAGAAAAAGAGGTTCATTCATACAGACATACTGAAAAAGGAAGGCGTTTTCTATTTTTTTTAATTTTTATTTTTACCTCAGGCCATCTGCCACATGCAGAGCTATCCTGTGCTGTAAGGTTCTGGTTAGACCTGCATTTTCTTGCTGGAGCAACCGATCTAAAGACCCCTTGGAGGCCAATTCCATGACAAGCATCCGAGGACGCACAGCTGCAGCCATCAGGAATACCAAGCTGGGATGATGAAGGTGACAGAGCACCGTCAGTTCCTAGGCACAGCAAAGCGAAAGTGAGAGGACAGCGGTACTCCTGCCATCTTTTCTCAAAGGTGCTTCTCTCCACACACACACACATCCCAAAGGCAACTGGACTGATTTTTTTTTTCCTTGAGGAGGGAGAAGACGTTTCGCTTCTTCATCCAAGAAGCTTCATCGGTGGTGGGACGGATGGAAGGATAGGTTTTGAAGGGTAAAGGGTATGGCTAAATGTCTATGGAGATTCTCAGTCATCCAGGCCATAGGTGCTTTTTTTCAAAAGGAGCCTTGGTAGTACAGTGGTTTAATGCACCCTGTAATTAACACAGCTGCCTGAAATTTCTGCAGGTTCGAATTTTACCAGGCTCAAGGTTGACTCAGCCTTCCATCCTTTCTAAGGTAGGTGAAATGAGGATCCAGTCTGTGGGGGCAATAAGATGACTTTGTATAAATATATACAAAAGTATGAAGGCTATTGCTTAACGCATTGTAAGCCGCCCTGAGTCTCCGGAGAAGGGCGGCATATAAATCAAATTAAAAACAAAAGGCAAATGGACAGTTTTTTCAGAAGGAGGAGGAGGAGCAGGAGGAGAGGAGAAGAAAAGGAGGAGGAGGAGAGGAGAGGAAGAAGAAGAAGAGGAGGAGGAGGAAGAGAGGAGGAGGCAGGAGGAGGAGGAGGAGAGGAGAGAAGGAAGATGGGGAGGAGGAGGAGAAGAAGAAGAAAAGGAAGGGACATTTCAAACCAAAGTAGGTGACATCATCAAGGCTAGAAGGGAGTGGGGTTGAGGAGGAGAGGAGGAGGAGAGAAGGAAAGAGGGAGGAGGGAGAGGAGGAAGAGGAGGAGGAGAGAGGAGGAGGAGGAGGAGGAGGAGGAGAAGAGGAGGAGGAGAGAAGAGGAAGAGAGGGAGGAGAGGAGGAGAGGAGGAGAGAAGAAGGAAGGAGGAGGAGGAGAAGAAGAAGAAGAAGAGGAGGAGAGGGGAGAGAAGAAGAAGATGGAGGAGGAGGAGAAGAAGAGAAGAAGAAGAGGAGGGAGGAGGAGGAGAGGAGGACGAGGAGAACAACAACAACAACAACAACTTTTGAGGCAATCATGACCTGAATGACTGAGAAGACATAATGCTATGTTTGTAGCCAAGGTTAGAGACAGATTTCTCCAGCCAAGTCTCTGCCTCACGGATCCGAACCGTCGCAAACTGTTTCAGAGAAACTGATAAGACTTTCCAACCGACAAAAGAAAAAGCAGACATTCAAAAAATGTGAAAGTTGAAAATAAATGATTCCCCAAAATCAGCAAAGGGGGAAAAAAAAAACCCAATAAGCAAACCCTTGTTTTTTATTCTGGAATAATGCAACAATAGGCCGCTGTTGAAAATGGTGTGACCTGTACGTGGATGTTTGCAAGAAATAATGAATGATCCCTGTCGGCTACAAGGTCAGTAGCCATTAATTAAGTTGCGCAATCCGGGCCCTTGTGATTTCTAATCGCAAGTAATTTATGGCTTTATTGATTTATTCACAGACTGCGAATTGACTCACCTGTCTCAGCAGCCTAAGGGACGTGTGCTTATTAAAAACCTTTACAGCTACTTCTTCGCCGTTATAAACCGCACGGTACACAGATCCAAAGCCACCATCACCTTTCCGACAGAAAATATGAGACAATGTTTTTGTTTTTTTTAAAAAAAAATAGGTTACATTTCCTGAATTTATATGGCGAACCTCTGGCACAGGTGGCATGTGGAACCATATCGGTGGGCACGCGAGCTCAGCTCTGGCATGCATGCGTGCGCTGATTTTTGGGCCTTCTGGGCCCATCAGAAGTCAGGAAACACACTGTTTCCGGCCTCCAGAGGGCTTCTAGGAGTGGAGGGGGGGAAGGGTGTTTTTGCCCTCCCCAGGCTCCTAGAAAGGCTCTGGAGCCTGGGGAGAGCAAAAAACGGGCCTACTGGGTCCACCGTGCCATCGCGTGCCAAAAGCGGGAGGAGCACAGGGGGGGGGTGCATAGAATTATGGATGTGGGCACACGTGCGTGTGACCCCACTGCACTCCCCCCCCCCCGCTTTTGGCACGCGATGGCAAAAGGGTTAGCCATCACTGTTATAGGAGAATAATTGCAGATGTAGTTGAAACACCCTTTTGGCGTATTCTAAGTTAAGAAATCATAGCTGAAATAATTGATTTTTAATTTGGTGGAATTCCCCTCAAACCAGCAAGACTGGATTTTTAAAATATACCAAATAACAAAATAACAAGAGTTGGGAGGGACCTTGGAGGTCTTCTAGTCCAACCCCCCTCACTCTACTCAAGCAGAAGACTATACCATTCCTTACAACTGCTGTCCAATCTCTTCTTGAAAGCCTCCAGTGATGGACCACTCACAACTTCTGGAAGAAACTCAATCCACTGATTTAATTGTTCTCACAGTTAGAAAATTTATCTTTTCTTCTAGATTGGTTCTTCTAGGTTTTAGTATCCGTATTGAGGGGATCCCAAAATAATTCTACCTTACCTGCTGAATGAAATCCCTAACCTCATAAAAACCTTTCTAACAATACCGATTAGATTAAAACATTGCTATTTTTTATTGTACTTCAGGAATATCACTACCAGGGTCTAATGCAGCATTTAAAAATCGTCCTCAACTTTGTTAATAAACAACGATAGATAGATAGATAGATAGATAGATAGATAGATAGATAGATAGATAGATAGATAGATACTGTGTTTTCCCAACTATAAGACCTTGTCTTATATTTTTTTGAATCCTGAAATAAGCACTTGGCCTTACTGCCATGGACCTAAAAGTCCGATTGGGCTTATTATCAGGGGAATGTCTTATTTTGGGGGAAACAGAGTATTACATTAAGATTCCTAATTTAATTTAAACAAAGTCTTTTGACCTCAAGGGGCTTTGGTTACAAACTCGTTTATTCATCTTTCCTAGAAGCGTTCCTCTTTCTTAGCTGTAGGAAGCAACCCAACGATTCTCTTTACCGAGAAGGTTCTCTGGAGCTTGGTGGAATTCCAGTTCATCGTTGTTCAACATGATGTTTCTAGGTAAATCGGCCAAAATCAAATCGGGAGCAATTTGAGCTATTGGAACGGTAGACTTTGGTTGATCTGGATTTATTAAGAGGTCACCTGGATGGATAAAGAAGAATAGACATGGAAATGTAACCGATGAAACGGAAAAGCAAACTAATACTCTAGGACCAGAGGTGGTATTCAGCCGGTTCAGACCGGTTCAGACCGGTTTGGGAGACCTGCGAGTGGCGACCTGCAAGTGGCCGCCCACCCACCCCAGCACAATTTAGCCACATTTAGCCTATTTAGGCTATTTAGTCCTATTTAGGCTATTTAGTCCTATTTAGCCACATTTTCTAAGCTGCGTGCATGCGTGCACGCCGCGCACATTCACATTTTCGGTGCGCGGCAAACCGGTGGTAAAATTATGTGAAACCCACCTGTGTAGGACTTCTACTTTCTGAATCTCTGACGCATCAAACCAAATTCCACTGTAATTTATGTCATTTATGTAATGACACCATTCCGCAAATGATGTGATCAATGTACAATCATACGGATGCATAGCTACCATGATCCATTTGGGAATATAGGTTATCTCCTCCCCTCAATTAAAAAAATAATAATCACGGTATGCTCATTTCAGTAAGATAAGATAAACTTTTAACTCTAACAGTTCCAGGTTATACGGAGAAATGGGTCAGGATGTACATACATGCACCCCTATGCAGTCACTACAACATATAAGCAGTTTCATGCTACATGAATGGACAAAATCGAATATTCTTTTTTTTTTTAATTTTTATTTTCCATTTTTCCAATTTACATAACAATAAGTATTTTTAACAGGAGACAAAGGTTGGCAATAAGGCCAAAGGACTGTTTAGGAAGGATTTGTTTTGGACTTAATTTGGACTAAGCTGAGAATGAAATAATTCTCAGCTGTTCTAATAAAATATGTTTGTTTAGGACTGTTTGTGTCTGGTAATAACTACTTGGGCCTAGGTCACAACAGGGCCCCCAGAACCCCATTTTCGCTGGCAGAGTGCTGTAGTAGGCCGTTCATGTCACTGCGTTTTTGTATTTACCAGATGAGCTATTATTTTTGGACTTTCAGACTTACCGTAGCTTGCCAAGTTTCTTATCAGTAAGCTAACTGCGCATGTCTACATTCCTTCTCCTTCTAAAACTTTCTTTGTTCTCCTGCCAAGAGAGGTCCAGCAGGAACGTTGCCAAGATGTAACTAATTAGACTAGTGAGATGTTTTATTTTCTTTATAACAAATAAATGAGTTTTTCTTAGAAAATATATCTTCAGGTTTATTTTCTTGCAAAAGTATACACAAGGAAAATGCCATGATCCAACTCTAACTCAGGCAATTACCCCAGGAAGGTAACGGGGCTGATTGCCACTCTGACACCCAGGCTGAAAATGGGGCACTAACACAGGCACCACGGGGCGGTCATTTGCTATTTCCAGCCCGGCCCTGCAGGCCAGATCTAAACATCCCGCAGGCCGGATCCGGCCCACGGGTTTTGAGTTTGACACCTCTGCAGTAGACCAAAAAAGTATTTTGGAATGGATTATTCGAAATACCATAGTAAACCTACCTTCCTCTGCCTTTTTAAGTAGGTCATCGAGCAATATTTTCTGATGTTCCTCTCCATCCTCAAAGCTGTACAAGGCCCATTTTTTCAACAGCGTTTCTCCTTCGCCACAAACATCTACTTCCAATAAACCCGGGAACCACTCCTCCATAAGAGAATCGATGTGATCTACAACTTGCCCCAAAATGATGCAACCTTCAGAAAGTCAAGGGACCGGGGGGAGGGAGGGGGAGAAAGTGGATTAAAAATTGTGGTTTGCTGCATCTGTAGTTAGAAATACACTACGACATTTTCCGCTGAAATGTTCTGTTGGTTCCGCAGAACCAACAACATGTTTTGACCCAGCTCCCCAAACACGACAAACCCTCTGAAGTGAACTCAAAGGTTCTTTTATTAGGAGCGCCGGCAGCCCCGGCAAAAAGTTTCTCTCTCAAGCTAACAAGTTCGTCCGGCCGGGAGATGAAGAGTTGTCTGCCACATCTATTTATCTCCGCCTCCTGCCTTTTATCTCCAGAGCTAAGTTGGGGCTTCTTTAGCAGCTGTGGCTCTTCCGTCCCAAGGCCGGCCCATAGATTTCCACTGCTCTCCTCTCCTCTGTTTCTGCGCATCTGTGCGTCAGGCACTGGACCCAGCTGTTCCTCCTCTTCCTCATCAGCCACCTCCAGACCTGGGGGCTGTTGATTCTCCATCTGAGGGCTGATGGAGGGCTGAGGGCTGATGCCATCCCAGGCTCCGCCTCTGTCTCTCTCTCTCTGCCAGCTCCATTCCCTCTTCCCCCTCGGAGCTCCAAGGTTGCCTTGATGCTGACTCTGACTCACATGCCTCCTCCTCCTCTGAAGGGGGCCAGTGGCTGACAACATCTTAATTTCCCCGCACCCTCCCGGTTGGGACACGTATTAACCTTTTCTGCAAGAAGGGACCGTGATTTTTAGAAAGCTGTTTAGATTGTTTTCCAGAACTGCAGATTCCACCAGGGTGTAAGCTTCTGGAGACCAGTTCAGATATATGCCTTGCCTCCAATACATCTTGTTCGGACGAAGAGCTCGTTCTAAGAAGAAATAGAAGGATGTTACGTCCGTAATGTTTTTTCCCCCTCCATTATAAATTCACACACGACTTTTCCAGCCTATACTAACTATAGACTCCTGGAATTAAGGAGAAACTTCCTAACAGTGAGGACAATTAACCAGTGGAACAGCTTGCCTCCAGAAATTGTGGGCACTTGAGGCTTTTAAGAAGAGTCTAGACCAGAGGTGTCAAACTCAAGGCCCGTGGGCCGGATCCGGCCTGAAATGTGGTCAGATCTGGCCCGCAGAGCCGTCTTGGAAAATGAAAGGGTTCGGCCTGCATCGTTTCGGCCTGGTCTACCCAATGCGAAAGGAAACATGTCAGCAGTTTGGGGAGTGGTGTCAAGCTGGCCATGCCCACCCAATTGGCCATGCCTGCCCAGGTGGCCACACCCATGCCCAGGTGGCCACACCCACCCAGTTGGCCACAACCCACCCAGCCCGAGGTCAACCACAGCCCTGATGCGTCCCTCAATGAAATTGAATTTAACATCCCTGGTCTAGACACTTCTCTGAAATGGTATAGGTCAGTGATGGCTAACCTTTTTGCCATCGCGTGTCAGGAGGGGGGGCAGGGGAGGTTCGCACGCGCGCGTGCCCACACCCATAATTCTATGCACCCCGCCCCACGGATGCGACCCCCCCTTGCCCCCCTCCCCCCGCTCCTGGCACGCGATGGCCCGGTAGGCCTGTTTTTCTTTCTCAACTGGCTCCAGATCCTTCTCTATACCTTCACAGTATTAGGATTCCAAGCATAAGATGTCTTAGAACCTTCATGGTATTAGGATTCCAAGCATAGAATGGCTTAGAACCTTTGTGGTATTAGATTCCAAGCATAAGATGTCTTAGAACCTTCGTGGTATTAGGATTCCAAGCATTAGATGGCTTAGAACCTTCACGGTATTAGGATTCCAAGCATTAGATGGCTTAGAACCTTCACGGTATTAGGATTCCAAGCATTAGATGGCTTAGAACCTTCACGGTATTAGGATTCCAAGCATAAAATGGCTTAGAACCTTTGTGGTATTAGGATTCCAAGCATAAGATGTCTTGGAACATTCACTATATTAGGATTCCAAGCAGAAAATGGCTTAGAACCTTCATGGTAGATTCCAAGGATTAGATGGCTTAGAACCTTCATGGTATTAGGATTCCAAGCATAGAATGGCTTAGAACCTTTGTGGTATTAGATTCCAAGCATAAAATGGCTTAGAACCTTCACGGTATTAGGATTCCAAGCATAAGATGTCTTGGAACATTCACAATATTAGGATTCCAAGCATAGAATGGCTTAGAACCTTCACGGTATTAGGATTCCAAACATAAAATGGCTTAGAACCTTCACGGTATTAGGATTCCAAGCATAAGATGTCTTGGAACATTCACAATATTAGGATTCCAAGCATAAGATGTCTTGGGTAAGTAACACATGTGTTCCAGATCCCTAAATAAAGTCCCTTAAATGAGTTTGCATTTATAAATATTCATAATCTATCTACCTATCTCCTATCCAACACCTCCAATCCATAGACGTGTCTTTCTGTCGGAAGATCCTTTGCAACGAAACCAAGATAACAATTCCAAAATTTCATATAACAGCCTGGACATTAATCTGTACCTGAAAGTAATTCCCATTGAAATTGGACAAATGCAAGCAATATTTTCTGTATCAAATTTGGCTCAGCCCAGAGGTGGGTTTCATATAATTTAACAACCGGTTCGCCCAGCACCGAAAACATGAGTGCGTGCGTGTGCACACTATCTTTGCTCACGTGTGCAGCTTGCATGTATGTACACGGCTCAGAAAACGTGGCTAAATAGGATGCCCACAAGCAGGTCACCCAAACCAGTACGAACCGTCTGAATCCCACGACTAGTTCAGCCTACAGTGTCTCAGACCTCACGCTAAAACTTTAACGCGGATTAAGCAACCACGTAAGTGACTTTAAAACCAAATCCCAATCGCTGAATTAAAAGCACGAAATCTGTGGTAACTCAGCTAATTTCCTAACGACAAAGGCCCCTTGTACAGATTTAGCTAATTTCCTTCCATTCTTGTACCTCTTCCGGAAAGCATGTACGAAGACACTTCAAGCAGTCGATTAATTAGCCTGGACCAAAATCCCATAGGAAAATACGGCATCTCGTACAATCTTATAATAAGCTCAGAGTTTTCACAGTGAGGCAATTCTATCACAGGCCGTTGATCTGACAAGCTTAAAGAGAAAAAAAAGAAAGAAAGAAAGAGATTTTAAAAGGGAGCTATTTCCCACTTTTTTGAAATTTTCATTCCCCAAGTCGGCAATGGGGTGACAGTCAAAAGGTAGAAAGTATCGTCTTTGAGTTATCATTATTGGATGACTTTATAACAACGAGCAAGCATCCCTAAGAAGTTCCTGTGGTTTATTGTGCACCTTGGGATCATTGCACAAATGGTAGCAAATTTGCTTGGGTGACCCCGATACAAATTAAACAATAGACGAGAATCTTTGTAGCTCAGGGTTGAATTGAACTTGTGGCAATGTAATAACTTTAGGCTTATTCCTCTCTTGACTCCCTCACCAGTGGAAACCTAAAATTTCCAGTCTAGATTTTTACCTATTGCGGATAGTCATTTCATGTATTACGATTTAAAGAAAGCAAATTTTATTTTATTTATTTATTTGTTTAAATTTCTATACCGCCCTTCTCCAATGTAGGACTCAGGGCGGTGAACAGCCAAAGTAAAAACAAGACATACATACAAACATACAAAATCTAAAAACTGTTTAAAATAATTAAATAATTTTGGCCGTAATTAAAACATTCCAATTTAAAATCCATTTAAAATTTGACTCAAGCCAGCCCAGCTAGTTGGAATAAATGGGTTTTCAGGGCCCGACGAAAAATCCGGAGGTCTGTTATTGTACGTAGCTCTGGGGGGAGGTTGTTCCAGAGGGCGGGCGCCGCCACAGAGAAGGCTCTCCCCCTGGGGGTCGCCAGCCGACATTGTCTGGCGGACGGCACCCTGAGGAGGCCGTTAAAGGTTACCAACATACCGATAAAGGAGAATATTTGTAGCTCAAGGTTGGACTGGGGATTCCTTGGCACTCTCTGAGCTTGGTGGTTTTCTGGCAGATGTTTTCATGACCAGTGGTGGGTTCCTCCCGGTTCTGTCCGGTTTGGCCGAGCCGGTAGTGGTGACGATATGACATCACTGAACCGGTTCTCCCCCCCGCCCTCCCACCCCCCCATGTTATTCTTATCTTTTATTTGGTCCCACCCCCAATCTATTGCTGCCTCCTGAGTCCCAGCTGATGACTAGAGGGAAAAAAACTGGTTAAACTCTTGCCGCAGGGCTTCAAAGGGCCGCCCTACAGCTGATCAGTGTTAAAAGCAAACAAATGAGCCGGGTCGTAAGTGCGAGGACTAGTCGTAATGTGAGGACCTTCCAGAAATGACGCTGACCAGCTAGCCACGCCCACTTAATCACACGACCTCCAAGCCACACCCACAAAATAAGCCACGCCCACAGAACCGGTAGTAAAAAAATTTAGAACCCACCCCTGTTCATGACCAAACCAGGGGTGAAATCCAACAGGTTCTGACAGGTTCTGGAGAACCGGTAGCGGAAATTTTAAGTAGTTTGGAGAACTGGCAAATACCACCTCTGGCTGGCCCCAGAGTGGGGCGGGAATGGAGACTTTGCAATATCCTTCCCCTGGAATGGGAAGGGATTGGGGATTTTGCAGTATCCTTCCCCTGGAGTGGGGTGGGAATGGAGATTTTGCAATATCCTTCCCCTAGGAGTGGGGAGGGAATGGAGATTTTGCAGTATCCTTCCCCTAGGAGTGGGGAGGGAATGGAGATTTTGCAGTATCCTTTCCCTGCCACGCCCAGCAAGCCACACCCACAGAACCGGTACTAAAAAAAATTGGATTTCACCACTGGACCAAACTAGATAACATTATCAGCAGAGGTGGAATTCACATAATTTACCTACCGGTTCACCCAGCACCAAAAATATGAGAGCGCACACATGCTTTGCTCGCTTTTGCCACCTGCACTCATGCGCCTGGCCTTCCACGCACTTTGCTCTCGCACGGGCCTCCAATGCATGCGCCCGGCCTCAAAAACGTGACTAAATAGGACAGCATAGAGCCGGGGGGGGTAGTGTGGGCAGACTCATCCACGATTTCCGCTACCGGTTTCCTTAAACTGGTCCGAACCAGCTGAATACCACCTCTGATTATCAGTGCTAGTAGGAAGTGAGGTTTGTATTGTTTGCATCAATCCTTGGTCTCCTGTTAATTTTAGGGTTAATCTTTGCTCCTCTGTGTATTGATTGTTGGTGAGCAGGTATTTTGGGATTTTATTTCTTTTCCAACAATCAAGAAGCAAAGAAGGCAAGGAATTACCAACTCGGACAAATAAACTAACAGTAAACAAGAGTAAGGGATCACCAAGACTATTCCCAGCAGCCTTGAGAGGGAAATTCATAAAATGAGAGCAAACCTCACTCCCTTCAAGCGCTGATGATGTTACCTAGTCGGGTCGCAAAACATCTACAAGAAAACAACCAAGCTCAGAAGCACCAAAGACCTGCAAATTTACCGTATTATTCAGACTATAAGACGCACCGGAGTATAAGACGCACCAAGATTTCGAAGAACAAGGGAAAAAATAGTTTTTGCCCTCCCCGGGCCCCAGGAGCACTCTGCAGGCCTCCTTTCACAAAAACGGGATGTGCAGAGGGTTTGGGAGGCCTGCAGAGTGCTCCTGGGGGCTGGGGAGGGCAAAAACGGCCCCCAAACCCTCTGCATGTCCCATTTTTGCGAAAATGGGCCCATTTTTCACAAAAACGGGCTGCGCAGGGCGGGGTTTCGAGAGGCCAAAAAATGGCTGTATTCGGTGTGTAAGACGCGCCGACATTTTCACCCTCTTTTACGGAGGAAAAAAGTGTGTCTTATACTCCGAAAAGTACGGTAATAATTCACATCCTCGCTAACGAAGTCATAATGTGTGAGATGTTACTTGTTTCCCACATTTTCCCTCCCCCGGCAAATGCCCATGTAACAATCAATTTTTAAATTTTTGATTTACCTGCTCGGAATAAGCAGTTGATCTTCTCCTAACGGCAAAGCAATCTGGAATTTCTCTAGAAGCTTGAAGTATTGGCACTTGCAAATCTCAGGGAATTTACTGTTCTTTAGCAGGGATTTTTCCACATCCGAACGCTTTATGATCCCTTTCGGGTATTTGGTAAAACCATCCACCTTCACCGTCAAGATCTACGGAAGAGAAATCCGTCTCACAAAACCTCACGATGATTTGCTTAGTTTAAAAATCGTGTCACCCGCCAAGCTTCTCGCTTCGTTTTCAAATAAAAATCAGAAGAATATTCTTTTATTGGCCAAGTGTGATTGGACACACAAGGAATCTGTCTCCGGTTAGTAAGCTCTCAGTGTACATGCAATGAACAAAGTGATAAATCGTAAGTCATAAAAGGGATAAATCATAAATCATAAGGTACAATTGTAACGTCCAGTGGTGGATTTCAAATTTTTTTACTACTGGTTCTGTGGGCGTGGCTTGGTGGGCGTGGCAAGGGAAGGATACTGTAAAATCCCCATTCCCACCTCACTCAAGGGGAAGGTTACTGCAAAATCCCCATTTCCTCCCGATCAGCTGGGACTTGGGAAGTAGAGAATAGATTAAGTCGTGGACCATCTGTATTTTGGTGTTTGGCATTTTAACTTTCCTCGAATAAACTAAATTATCGTATAGAAAAAAAATCTGAGACCTAGGAGATAAGAGAGAAATAACCGTTCAGAGGCAAAAAAAAGGGGAAATTAAAATAAAATGGGGCAATCCAGAAAACCTGGATTGGAACCGCATTTGAGACTGACCTGGGCTATGATTTTGCACAGCCATTTGGGATCGACAAAATAGAAATTTCTGAGCTGAAGTGCTGGATCTTGAAAGTGGAGCAGGACACCTAAATAAATAAATTAAAAAATAGCCCGCTTAGTGTATATATTTATCTATCTATCTATCTATCTATCTATCTATCTATCTATCTATCTATCTATCTATCTATCTATATCAGTGCGTAAGGAACATTTTAACAATAATATGGTTTATTGCAGGTAGTCCTCGAATTACGACCACAACCGAGCCCAACATTTCTGCTGCTAAGTGAGACATTTGTTAAGCCCCATTTTACGACCTTTCTTCCCTCAGTTGTTAAGTGAATCACTGCAGCCACACGGTTGTTAAGTGAATCTGGCTTCCCCACTGAAGCCAGATTCAGCGACCGTCGTGAAGATGAGTCAATTTCCAAGATTCTGACCATGGGAGGATGCTGCAACCGTTGTTAAGTGGGGAAAAACGGTCATAAGTCACTTTTTTCAGTGCTGTTGTAACTTTGAGCGGTCACTAAAGGAACTGTTGTAAGCCGAGGACTGCCTGTACTTTAAAATTCATTATCCCTTGTTCAGTGGAGGATCCCAACACTCTCTCAGCCCAACCCACCTCACAGAGTTGTTGTTGTTGGGAAAATGGGAGGAGGATAGAATGGAATGGAATGGAATGGAATGGAATGGAATAGAATAGAATAGAATAGAATAGAATAGAATAGAATAGAATAGAATAGAATAGAATAGAAAATATGGAATGGAATGGAATGGAATGGAATGGAATGGAATAGAATAGAATAGAATAGAATAGAATAGAATAGAATAGAATAGAATAGAATAGAATAGAATAGAATAGAATAGAATAGAATAGAATAGAAAATATGGAATGGAATGGAATGGAGTGGAGTGGAGTGGAGTGGAGTGGAGTGGAGTGGAATGGAATGGAATGGAATGGAATGGAATAGAATAGAATAGAATAGAAAATATGGAATGGAATAGAATAGAATAGAAAATATGGAATGGAATGGAATGGAATGGAATGGAATAGAATAGAATAGAATAGAATAGAATAGAATAGAATAGAATAGAATAGAATAGAATAGAATCAGAGTTGGAAGGGACCTTGTAGGTCATCTAGTCCAACCCCCCGCCCAAGCAGGAGACCCTACCCCATTTCTGACAAATGGCAGTCCAGTCTCTTCTTGAAAGCCTCCAGTGATGAAGCTCCCACAACTTCTGTTCCATGGGTTGATTGTTCTCACTGTCAGGAAATTTCTCCTTATTTCCAGGTTGAATCTCTCCTTGATCAGTTTCCATCCATTATTCCTTGTCTGGCCTTCAGGTGCTTTGGAGAATAGCTTGAGCCCCTTCCTCTCTGTGGCAGCCCCTCAAATATTGGAAGACTGCGATCATGTCTCCCCTGGTCCTTCTCTTCACTAGACTAGCCAGGCCCAGTTCCTGCAACCGTTCTTTATATGTTTTATCCTTCAGCCCCCTAATCCTCTTGGTTGCTCTTTTCTGCACTATTTCTAGAGTCTCAACATCTTTTTTATAGTGTGGTGATCAAAACCGGATGCAGACTATATTTGTTGGCCTCCTTGAGTAACTTATCAAGTAATAAAAGCAGGACAACAATCGAATAAAATAAGCAAACGGCCCAACTTAGCGTAACTTTTTTGTTCAATGAAAAAAGGAATGGCGGAGCCAGTGACTATCCCAATCCAACGGCCATATTTTTACCCGATTCGTTCAGAAAATGCACAGCGTGGGAAAGCTCGTTTTCGTCCAATTGCAGCTGCTTTTCTTGCACCAATTCATAAAGCTGACTCTGGCCAATCACGGGGAATTCAGCCGGCAAAGTTTTGCGTATTTCTAGAATGCTCTTCTCAAGTTCTAAGTAGCTGTCTGGAATTAACTGGCCAATCACGGGCTGGTCTCTGATCTGCAGGGGGGAAATAAATGAACGAACGAATGAATGAATGAATGGATTGAATCAATCAATTAATCAATCAATCAATCAATGTTCAACTATTTCAATGAGTTCCTTAGGGATGAATTGTACTTGCCATCGTATGCCAGAAGCAGAGGGGGGTCGCGCGCACGTGCCCGCACCCATAATTCTATGTGCCCTGCCCCCACGCATGCATGCGCGATCCCCCACACTCCTCACGCTCCTGGCATGTGATGGCACAGTAGGCCCATATTTAGCTCTCCCCAGCCTCCAGAGCCTTTCTAGGAGTCTGGGGAGGGTGAAAGCAGCCTTCCCCACCCTCTGGGAGGTCTTCCGGAGGCCGAAAACGGCCCATTTGCCAACTTCCAATCCCATCGCAAGTTGGCAAATGGGCTGTTTCTGGCCTCCAGGGGGGATAGGGAAGGCAGTTTTTGCCCTCCCCAGACTCCTAGAAAGGCTCTGGAGGCTGGGGAGAGAGAAAAACGGGCCTTCCCCACAATCCCCCCCCCCGAGGTCCTCCAGAGGCAGGAAACAGCCTGTTTCCTTACTTCTGGTGGGCCCAGAAGGCCCGAAAAAGGAGCTAAGCTCGCGTGCCCATCGATATGGCTACGCATGCCACCTGTATAGGGCCATCACGGCCCTATACTAACCCAGACAAATCGTTGTCCAAACTCTTCTTGAAAAATCTTTGCCTCCCTGAATATTGGAAAGATTGAGCCATTGAGAAAGACCAGGCATTCAAAGCAAGCCATAAGGTGGCTTGTTTTCATGTTGGTTTAGGGTGCCATGCAAATCCAGCTTTTGTGTTTTGTAAACTATGATTCGTGGCTTTACAATCTGGTGTGAATCTGGTTGACTGTACCTTAGTCAATAAGCAGTTGCTAGATAAGTCATATCTTATCTCTTCTTAAAAACCTCCAGTGTTGGTGCATTCACGACGTCTGGAGGTAAGTTGTTTCACTGATCAATTGTTTTAACTGTCACGAAATTTCTCCTTAGTTCTAAGTTGCTCCTCTCCTTGATTAGTTTCCACCCATTGCTTCTTCTCCTGCCTTTAGCTAATTTGGAGAACAGCTTGACTCCCTCCTCTTTGGGGCAGCCCCTGAGATATTGGAAGACTGCTATCATGTCTCCCCTAGTCCTTCTTTTCTTTCTTTCTTTTTTTTGAAGAAATGTTTTATTTTTTAAACAAAAACAACATAAAAATATCATCCTTCCAAACAATTACAGACTGCGTTTCGATCGGTTAGAATCATTTCGTGTTCTCAATAATTTTCAAAATCTCATCCTATGACAAATATTCTTTCCTCTAACAGAAGATAAATATTTAAACATTTCATCCGAATTTCATTTCGTATATAATATCTCATCTCCATCAGGGGTGGGTTCTAATTTTTTTTTACTACCGGTTCTGTGGGCGTGGCTTATTTTGTGGGTGTGGCTTGGAGGTCATGTGACTAGGTGGGCGTGGCTAGCTGGTCAGTCATTTCTGGAAGGTCCTCGCATTTACGACCAGTCCTCGCACTTACGACCCGACTCATTTGTTTGCTTTTAACACTGATCAGCTGTAGGACGGCCCTTTGAAGCCCCGCGGCAAGAGTTTAAACAGTTTTTTTTCCCTCTAGTCATCAGCTGGGACTCAGGAGGCAGCAATAGATTGGGGGTGGGGCCAAATAAAAGGTAAGAATAACATGGGTGAGGGGGGGAGGGCGGGGGGGAGAACCGGTTCGGTGACGTCGTATCGTCACTGCTACCGGATCGGCGGAACCGGACCGAACCGGGAGGAACCCACCACTGATCTCCATGCTTTATTATCTATCCATTGATAAAATATCTCCCATATCAAATAATAATTGTTTATCTTCCCGTTCTCTTATTTCGAATGTCAATCTACTCGTTTCAGCACAGTCCAACATTTTCTTCATAATTACTTCATCAGTAATTATCTTCTCTCCTTTCCAATTTTTTGCAAATACAATTCTAGCTGCTGTTAAAATATTCACAATTAAATATTGCAATTCTTTATTAAAGTCCTTCTTTTCGTAAGACTAGACTTACCTAGCCATTGTATAGATACCTTCTTTGAACCATATGGGGAAACTAAATCCGTATTTGTCCCAAAGGTGCTTTTTGAGGGAGGCAACTGGACTTTCTGGTTTTTCTTTGGAGACATTTCGCTTCTCATCCAAGAAGTCCAGTTGCCTCTTGAAAAAGCACCTTTGGGACAACCTTGACCTGGATGACTGAGAATCTCCATAGACAAATCCATATTTATGATATTAAAAGTATCGCACTTAACCTTAAGCAGTAATTTCCCTGATTGCTAATCAAGCAAGATTTGAATGAGAATATTCCTGAGAATGTGCAGCGTTCGCAGAACGTATCAACCATTTAATTATGGTTGGCGCAGTGATTAGTATGCAGTATTGCAGGCTGACTCTGCTCATTGCCAGGAGTTCGATCCTGACCGGCTCAAGGTTGACTCAGACTTCCATCCTTCCGAGGTGGGTAAAATGAGGACCCAGATTGTTGGGGGACAAGAGTCTGACTCTGTAAACCTCTTAGAGAGGGCTGCAAAACACTGTGAAACGGTATATAAGTCTAAGTGCTATTGCTGCTCCTTCCTTCCTTCCTTCCTTCCTTCCTTCCTTCCTTCCTTCCCTCCCTCCCTCCCTCCCTCCCTCCCTCTCTCCCTCCCTTCATCTGTTATTCCCTTTCTCATTCTCCTTCCTGGTGGCTCAGTGGTTAGAATGCAGTATTGCAGGCTGACTCTGCTCATTGCCAGGAGTTCGATCCTGACCGGCTCAAGGTTGACTCAGACTTCCATCCTTCCCAGGTGGGTAAAATGAGGACCCAGATTGTTGGGGGCAATAGGCTGACTCTGTAAACCTCTTAGAGAGGGCTGCAAAAAACTGTGAAACGGTATATAAGTCTAAGTGCTATTGCTACTCCTTCCTTCCTTCCTTCCTTCCTTCCTTCCTTCCTTCCTTCCTTCCTTCCTTCCTTCCTTCTTCCCTCCCTTCATCTGTTATTCCCTTTCTCATTCTCCTTCCTGGTGGCTCAGTGGTTAGAATGCAGTATTGCAGCCTGACTCTACTCACTGCCAGGAGTTCGATCCTGACCAGCTCAAGGTTGACTCAGCCTTCTGTCCTTCCCAGGTGGGTAAAATGAGGACCCAGATTGTTGGGGGCAATAGGTTGACTCTGTAAACCTCTTAGAGAGGGCTGCAAAAAACTGTGAAATGGTATATAAATCTAAGTGCTATTGCTACTCCTTCCTTCCTTCCTTCCTTCCTTCCTCCTTCCTTCCTTCCTTCCTTCCTTCCTTCCTTCCTTCCTTCCTTCCTTCCCTCCCTCCCTCCCTCCCTCCCTCTCCCCTCCCTTCATCTGTTATTCCCTTTCTCATTCTCCTTCCTGGTGGCAAGAATGTGGTATTGCAGCCTGACTCTGTCCACAGCCAGGAGTTCAATCCTGACTGGCTAAAGGTTGACTGTTAGGAAATGGTCATTGCCTAACTAGTTGTCCAGGATATATATAAGCCAACATTATATGTTTATAGTATGAATATGTATAATATAGCTTTAAGAGTATTGCTGAGTCATTCTGCATCCTGACTGGATGAGCTCTGTAGCAACTGTATTTAAGGAGGGCCTGATTGTGGTCAGTGTGGACATTACACCATGTGGACATTACATCATGTGGACATTACACCATATTGTTACCTGCTGCTATGTTGTAAATATCTTTGATCTCTTTACATGGTCAATTTGATCATGGTTTATTCATTACTGCTTTTATGAACTGTTTTTATATCGTTCCGGGATGATTCATGTATTGTTATACAAACCAGTAAGAAGTTTTGTATCTCTGGATTGATTATGCATGGCTAAGACTTGGATTGGTAAAAGACTATGCTTTTGCTTTGCTCTATAAATAAACTACTTTAAAAACCAGTTTGTATGCAGTTTGTTCACAATTACTCTCAGCACCGTTTCCGTGTGCAAAACTCTACGCTCTGCTTCATAACCTGTCCTGGTTATCTCACAAATATATCCTTAACATTGACTCAGCCTTCCTTCCTTCCGAGGTCAGTAAAATGAGGACCCTGATTGTCGGGGGCAATAGCCTCCCACCGGCCAGTACGCTCGCACAGAGTGGGCCTCCTCAGGGTGCCGTCCGCCAGACAATGTCGGCTGACGACCCCCAGGGGGAGAGCCTTCTCTGTGGCGGCGCCCGCCCTCTGGAACAACCTCCCCCCGGAGATACGTACAATAACAGACCTCCGGATTTTTCGTCGGGCCCTGAAAACCCATTTATTTCAATTAGCGGGGCTGGCTTGAGTTAATTTTAAATTGTTTTTAAATTGGGTTATTTTAATTTACGGCCAATAATATTTAATTATTTTAAATTGTTTTTAAATTTTGTATGTATTGTTTTTTATTCTGGCTGTTCACCGCCCTGAGTCCTATTCTGGAGAAGGGCGGTATAGAAATTTAAATAATAAATAAATAATAAATAGGTTGACTCTCTAAACCGCTCAGAGAGGACTGTAAAGCGGTATATAAGTCTAAGTGCCATTTATACTTGTACATTAAAGCGAAACGGCTTACTTTAAAATCCAGGCATTCTTTGATGATGATTTGTCGAAGTTTAGCCACGGACTCCGACTCTTCTGTAGCGTTCACAAAGTGATAGTCGTGGATTTTAGGAAATCCCTTCTGGTTCATCAGCTCCTTGGTGATTTTACTGATGCAAGCTCTACGCTGCTTCTCGTTCGCGATGTCTAAATGAGTCCCGATGAGAATCACAGGGGAGAAAGATGCTCGGGTCTATAAAACAGAAGTGGCAGAGTTCTCGATCGAGGCTCTTCTCCAATCGCCATCCTTTTTTGTGCAGTTGGTTTTATTCCACTCTGTTATCATCAGTCCTAGCCACCTGGCAACCAGAATGTCACCCGAGATTTGTCAAGCAGTTTAGAATTCTCATTAACCACCAGGCCAGCTTTAACAACATGAGGAATAAAATCTGAATTACTTAAACCAGGGGTGTCAAACTCGAGGCCCGCGAGCTGGATCTGGCTTGCGGGATGCTTAGATCTGGCCTGCAGGGCCTCCCTGGGAACAGCGAAGGACCGGCCCGCAGTGCCTCTGCCAGTGGCCCCCCCAAGCACCATTTTGGACCATGATGGCCTCCTGCAGCCCTCTGCCAGCAAAAATGGAGCTCGTAGGGGGGACCCTATGCGGCCGAGCTCCATTTTTGCTGGCAGAGGCACTGTGGGCCGGTCCTTCGCAGTTTCCAGGGCAGCCCCACTCTGTTTTCATTGGCAGAGGGCTGCAGGAGGCCATCGCGGCCGAAAACGGATGATGAGCTGGCCACGCCCCCTGGCTCCCAGAGGTCAAACACAACCCTGATGCGGCCCTCAATGAAATCGAGTTTGACACCTCTGACTTAAAGAAAAGTCTCAAATTCTTTGACGCAAAGCATCCCTGGCCTGCTCTTAAGTTGCCATAGGCCAGGGGGGGATGGGAAACCGGGGAAATGGCACAGTAGCCAAAGACAGATGCACATTCCGTGCTTATCTCTTCTCAAGGCTGTATCCCAGGGTTATATACAGCAGCCGAGGGGAGTGACCTCTACAACCCTCGAAATTGCTCCATTGGCTAATGTGATTAATGACACTTGGGAACGAGCCGACATGAAGCTTCTAATAAATAACTGGATTTCTTTTGAAGCTTAGCTCAAGACTCATGATTTAACAATATAAAATGCTTTATAGATGGCATATGCCCCCTGAGAAACTGGCAAAAATGTTTAAAGATATATCAGCTAAATGTTGAAAATGTCACCAGTTACCAGGTTCATATGTGGTGGACATGTTCAGAAGCTAAAAATTATTGGAATAAAATTAAGATATGGCTGGAAGAAATGATACAACAACGTATTGATTTAAACACCAGAGCTGTTCCTATTGGGTATCCTCCCAGAAAAAATTAGTAAAGAAAATATCTACTTGATTATACATGTAATAACAGCTGCAAGGATTGTTTATGCACAACATGGGAAAGCAGAGAAAATATCTTTGGAAGGAGAAGTAATTAAAAAAATTTTAGACTGTGCAGAAATGAATAGACTGACTTTAATGATTAAAGAAAGAGAAGATTCAGAATACTTTTAAGATATGGAATCAATTTTACCATTGGTTAGAGAAGAAATACAAATAAGTAAATTAATAATTATGTATAAAAATGCTATAATCAGAATATTCTGTTAGTGATGAATTGTTGTAATGGAGTGGGCGAGAATGAAGATAGAAGAAACAAGAAACAAGTGTGCAACCTAAGTGTTGGAGATGTGAATGTGATGATGCCACGTATTATCATATATGGTGGACATGTAAAAAAATTAAGGCATTTTGGATAAAAATATGGTAGATTATTCAAAATATTCTCAAAAAGAAGATAAAATTTACTCCACAGTTCTTCTTGTTAGGTATAATTACAGATTGTAATGTTATAGAGACTAAGTTGATTTAAATTTAATAACAGCAGCCAGACTTTTGGTGGCGCAGTATTGGAAGAAGGAAGACTTGCCTACTATTGAAGAATGGACACTAAAAGTAGTGAATTTAGCAGAGATGGCTAAAATTTCAGCGTATCTGAAGGACCATTCAAATGAAAGATATATATTGGCATGGAGAAGATGGATTGACTATATTCAAAACAAATATCGGACTAAAAAGTTTCAAACAGCTTATGAATGAAATCTATATTTTCTTTTTTGAATACGTTTAGTTAGTTGAAAGGGGAGTTAAAGAGCAAGGGGGAGTTTGGAGACCACAGAAAGTTAGCCTATTTTAGCTTATGTTTGTTATACTATACCCTGTTTTTGCTCTGGGAAATCCGGGGGGGGGTGTCGGGGAGGGGGGGGGAGGGGGGGTTGAGGAGGGGGGGAAAATTTATTTATTTATTTATTTATTTATTTTCAATTTATATACCGCCAAATTGTTGTAATGATTGTTAAAACTTTTTAAATAAAAAAAAAAAAGATAGAAGAAACAACAAAAAGAACTATTGGAGACAACACCGAGATGTCACATGGAAGGAATGACTGATCTATTAAATGTTTGTTTGTTTAAAAAAATAAAGAACTTTTTTAAAAAAAAGACTCACGATTTAATTAGGGCATCCATCAGAAGCCTGACAGCTAGCTGACTAGATACTTGTGCACAGGTAGCAATAATAAACTTTTCCCTGATTTGAACTCGATGAATGCTCCCGGTTATTTGCACCTGACAAATTTTCTATCGTATCGGTTGCTTTTTTTTAAAAAAAAAAAAGATCAGTAAATATGTTACCTTGATATTAAACAGCCATGGTTTCATGGCATCCACTTCTGATTCTCCTTTGCTCAGGTCATACACCGCGAGGTACAGCGCTCGCTGAGTCATAAAGTGGGGATGAGCGCTATAGAATTCTTCTTTGCCTGCAGAAAGGCAAGTACAGCAGTAATTGGCAGATGGCATGTATGCCCACGTACGCTCTCCATGACCTCCAATTCTCACCAAAGGGAGAAGAGAATTTAAACAGAGTTTAGATCGTTTCATTCGGTTCATAGACACAGAACAAAATGTTACAGATCGTGAGGAAACAGTCGGTTTTCCAATTTGCTCTCTCTCACACACCTCCAACACAAACGCTATATGAGGAACATGGTTAAAACGGAACGTTTCCTCAAACTTTAGAAGTTTAGACAAACAAAACTGTGTTCCTGTAGGGACAGGGGTGTCACAATTGGCGGCCCGTGGGCCGGGTGCGTCACGTGAGGGCCACGCCCATCCCAGCTCCACGAAGGGAGGAAACGTCGTGGCCCGTCACAAGCAGCGTGTGGGGGCGGAGTCAAGAGAGGAATCAGTCTGGAATCTTTGTGTCGTCACAAGCAGTCTAAGTCCTACTTCTCTTGAAGACCACTGACTCTCAATTAGCACCAACTTAATGCTGACCATTAGTTGACCGTTAGCAGAGCTGGCGGCTCTGTTAGGAGGTTGGGGAGGACAGTGAGGAGGTTGGGGAGGAACATGGGCCAGTCCTTGAGTCTGGGCAAGGCTCTGATAAGGGCTCTGCGTCAGAGGCAGAGTTAGGGCCAGGGCCATCCGACTGTTATCAGCTACCTTCAGAGTCGGAGATAAGTGGGGCTGAAGAACAGCTGGAGCCTGTTCCCATGTGCGCATGCGCAGAACTGCCAGGAGAAGGGAACAGCTAAGAAACAAGAGCCGACTCAGGAGTAAAGGAACAGGTGGACAGTGAACGGCCCTTCCCATAGGAAATAAAGAGGAGTGAAAGGGGAGGGGATTTTGCAGGAGACAATTAGTTCACTTCATTAGTGTGAAGATCTGTTCGTGACTCTCAGAGACTCCTCGCCAAGTCTTTCCTTGCACAGAATTGCATTTGGAAGATATCGGCCTGGCAGCTCTCCAAGCCTGATAAGGTCTGTGGTTGTAAATTCACCCTGGAAAGACTGTTTGCCGGGACTTTGCTGGATGTGAATGAGAGGAATTCACATTAGCTTAATAAAAAGGGGTTTTGTCGGGAGACAAGGAGTCTGCTTTGTGCTTTTGGGAAGCCTAGGTCAGAACAGAAGTGCTACGAAGCGGTATATAAGTCTAAGTGTTTTTTGCTTTTGCGATGCCCCCCCCCCCGGGGGCGCGAGAAAATACCTGCAAAGTCCCAGACATTTAAAACCGTATCTTTCTTGATTTTGCCTCTTCGGGGGATCTTCCAGTCATTCACATCAATTCCGATGGTCGGCTTCTGGGGTCCCAAATCCGGCCTCTTGCATTTCATTAGCTGTTGTAACAAGGTTGTTTTACCGCTGCTGGCGTTTCCAACAACCATGAGTTTCATTCTATGGTAGGGGACAGCTTTTTTTAAACGCTGTTGGAGGAACCTGGCAAAAAGAGACAGAAAGGTTCGTTTTAATTACAGAATTGCCTTTTTTTTTAAAAAAAAAATCGTTTTCTTCTCTTGGTAAAAAAATATTTCGGGGAAGGAAACCATCCAAACAGACCTGTTCAACTGCCAAGACAATTGATAACTAGATGCAGGGGTAGGTTTCAAACATTTTAGCAAGGGGTTCTCTCAGCCCAGTTGCTGGGTGGGTGTGGCCATGGTGGGCGTGGCCTAGTTGGCCTCCTGCACCATGGTGGGGGGGCGTTTTTGCCTTCCCTGGGCTCTGGAGGCTTTCCTCGAGCGTCCAGGGGGGCGAAAACAGCCTCCCCAGCCTCTGGAGGCCTTCTGGAGGCCGGAAACAGGCCCGTTTTCGGCCTCCCCAAACTTCCAGTAGGCCCGTTTTTCACCCTCCCCGAGCCTTCATGCGCGCCCTGCACTTACATGCACCCAAAACGGGCTGCGTGGGGACACCTAGGAGGGGTGGAGCAGGGTGGGCAGGGCCAGCCAGGAGTGGGATTTGGGGGTTCTCTGAACTGCACAGAATCTTAGCTAGAGGTTCTCCCGAACCCCTACGAACCCCCAGCAACCCACTCCTGACTAGATGGAAAAAAGGGATACCGTATCAGTGAGCTGACAAGGAGGGGGAAAAAAAGGAAACGTATAATGAAAAAAAGGAGAAAGAACTATTTTAAGGCTCTATCACTTCCTGATTTACAAGACACAGAACCGGTAGTAACAAATTTTACATTTCACCCCTGACCGTATCCCCCTTGCCCCGTTTTGAGCCTAGTAGGCCACCCTGCATGCACGCACAACCCCACCCCCTTGCACATGTGCGCACACCCCCCGCACATGCACACACGCCTTCAGCATGCACCCCTCTGTGCATCCCAAAAATCAGCTGGCCGGTGGGAGGCGCACGCATACATGGTAAAACTGAGCTGGGCGACAGCTCGCTTGCTTGCAGAGAGGACTCTGCATGCCAGGTGTGGCATGCGTGCCACAGCATCACGGATATAGGGTTCCCTGCTTGAGAAGGGGGTTGGATTAGAAGACCTCTAAGGTCCCTTCCAACTCTGTTATTCTGTTATTAGCAGTGTTTTTCCAGTGAAAATAGCCACCCAAAGCCATAGAAAGAATGGTCAAAACAAACTCACCGGATAATATCCCTTGCTTTGTCTCCCACGTGTTTAAAATCTAAGTTAAGATGTAATCCTTCCAAAGGAAGATCCCAAATATTCAACAATTTCCCCATTTCATCTGGAAAACACCGGATCGCTGGATTGTAACTAACATCAAAAGATGTCAAGTTTTCCAGAAATCCAATGTCAGGAGGGATCTGGAGACAAAAGAAGATTTATATATATATATTTTTTCAGAAGAGAACTGCTAATCTATCAGTTATCAGTATCAGTTCAATGCCAAACTAATCTAATTTTTAATTAGATATTTAATTAGACAATTAACTAGGTGGTAGCTGGTTAATTCTGGGCCAATCATTGCTTCTTTTGAACAGCGTTCAGGTTAATGTTACAGGTAGTCCTCGGCTTACGACCGTTCATTTGGCGACCGTTTGAAAGTTACAGCGGCAGTGAAAAAAGGGACTTATGACCGTTTTTCCACACTTATGACCATTGCAACATCCCCCATGGTCACGTGATCAGAATTCAGACGCTTGACAATATTTATGATGGCTGCAGCGACACGTGATCACTGTTCTGCTTAGCAATGGAAATTTTAAGCTCAGTTGAGGTCATAAGTCAAGGACTGCCTGTAACTGACTCCCTATTGTCACATTCTCCAATCCAATATTGTGGTGTTTTTTTTTATTATTATTCTTATTCTTAAAAAAGCATTGCTTGAGCATTCTGTGGTATATTTTCTCTTCTTCTTTGGGAGAAAAGTTTATTCTGAAAAACATGCCTTCATATCACGACGGAAATTGTTCAGATCCATTCTTTATCTCCAGCAAATATGCACCCTTCATGTATTCTTCTGAAGACTTCATTTGCTTGATGTTTAACAATACAGTTTGATAGACTTTCCTCTCTGGCTTCTTTCGTTCCTCTCTTGCAAAGTAATACCAATAGCACTTAGACTTATATACCGCTTTACAGTGCTTTACAGCCCCTCTCTAAGTGGTTTACAGAGTCAGCCTATTGCCCCCAACAATCTGGGTCCTCATTTTACCCACCTCAGAAGGATGGAAGGCTGAGTCAACCTTGAGCCGGTCGGGATCGAACTCCTGGCAGTGGGCACAATCAACCTGCAATCTTGCATTACCACTGTGCCACCAGGAAGAAGAATGAGAAAAGGAATAAGACAGGAAGGAAGGAAGGAAGGAAGGAAGGAAGGAAGGAAGGAAGGAAGGAGGAAGGAAGGAAGGAAGGAAGGAAGGAAAAAGGGAAGGGAAGAAAGGGAAGGGAGGAAGGAAGGAAGAAGTGAAGTGAGGGGAAGGGAGGCAGGGCAGGGAGAAGAGGAAGGAAGGAAGGAAGGAAGGAAGGAAGGAAGGAAGGAAGGAAGGAAGGAAGGAAGGAAGGAAGGAAAGGGAAGGGAAGATAAGGGAAGGGAGGAAGGAAGGAAGAAGTGAAGTGAGGGGAAGGGAACGCAGGGCAGGGAGAGGAAGGAAGGAAGGAAGGAAGGAAGGTAGGAAGGAAGGAAGGAAAAAGGGAAGATAAGGGAAGGAGGAAGGAAGGAAGGAAGGAAGGAAGGAAGGAAGGTAGGAAGGAAGGAAGGAAAAAGAGGAAGGAAGGAAGGAAGGAAGGAAGGAAGGAAGGAAGGAAGGAAGGAAGGAAGGAAGGAAGGAAGGAAAAAGGGAAGGGAAGATAAGGGAAGGGAGGAAGGAAGGAAGAAGTGAAGTGAGGGGAAGGGAAGGCAGGGCAGGGAGAGGAAGGAAGGAAGGAAGGAAGGAAGGAAAAAGGGAAGGGAAGATAAGGGAAGGGAGGAAGGAAGGAAGAAGTGAAGTGAGGGGAAGGGAACGCAGGGCAGGGAGAGGAAGGAAGGAAGGAAGGAAGGAAGGTAGGAAGGAAGGAAGGAAAAAGGGAAGATAAGGGAAGGGAGGAAGGAAGAAGTGAAGTGAGGGGAAGGGAAGGGAAGGGAACGCAGGGCAGGGAGAAGGAGGGAGGGAGGGAGGGAGGATAATAGCTCTTAGAGTTATCTACTACTTTTCAGTACTTTCCAACTCTCTATAAGCACCTTACAGAGTCAGCCTATATGGCCCCCAACAATCTGGGTCCTCATTTTACCGACCTCTGAAGGATGAAAGGCTGAGTCAACCTTGAGCCTGGTGAGATTCGAACTGCCAAACTGCAGGCAGCCAGCAGTCAGCAGAAGTAGCCTGCAGTACTGCACTCTAACCACTGCACCACCACGGTTCATAAAGTAAGCTTTGCATTAAGACAAGATAGGAAAAACCAATCTTTTTTTCTGAGCAGTTACTTGGAGAGAAGCCACGCTGCTTCTCCGTCTTAAAATAAATCGGAGCTGATTACTTTGAGTTTATTTACAGACCAGTCCAATACAATCAGGGCTGAAGGAACATAATATTTGAAGGAAAAGCGATTGCTTCAAACATTCCCGAAAAGTATTTCGAAAAAAGCACAGCGATAAAGTCAGAACAACTATCCTGTTTCCCCCAAAATAAGACCAATCCCTGATAATAAACCCAATCGGGCTTTTGAGCGCATGGCAATAAGGCCGAGCGCTTATTTCAGGGTTCAAAAAAATATAAGGCAGGGTCTTATTTTCGGAGAAACACAGTACTATCTTGTGATGTGTGTTACCTCTCTTAATCTGTTGTTAGACAGGTGCAGTTTTTCGAGCCGAGACCAGGAAGAAGCTTTGTCATTCAAATCTAGAATGCTTATTTGATTGTGGTTAAATATCAATTCTCTTAAATTGGACGATTTCCAAAATGCAGGCCCAGGTAACATCCCAATTCTATTGCTGCTTAAATCCACCGATCGCAAACTGGCAAAGAGAGACAGAAATACAAACAACTGCTATTAAGCGAAAAGTTAGACTTCGTAACTCGCGCCAATCATTTCCAAACACGAGGGCCATGCAGAAAAATATATATATATATTTATTATTTTTCAAAGGATGCTAACCCTACATTTACACATCAGAGGGCCAAATTTTTTTTTTTACTAAATCACACACTGTGCAATTTTTTTAAATTAGACATGCTTTTTAATTCTCCCATTCTCCCATCCCCCTTTCCTAACAACATAATCACTCTTTCTTGGGCCATGCCCACCAAGCCACACCCACAGAACCGGTAGTAAAAAAATTTGAAACCCCCACTGGCACACCTCTCCATCCCCTCCACCCCCCCCACCGGTCCGTAAAATCAGAAAGGTTGGAGACCCCTGCAATAGATATTTGGGATTACCAGAAGTCTCCAGAAATCAGTAGAAGAACAGGAGATGCAAATTTTAATGTACATGTCTTAGTAACTTACTGTGGTAGAAGAAGAATTGCCTCTGGAACAGTGAAAAAAGCATTCTGAGATAGTTTCAATGTAGTTATGCTACAAGGCAAGCTCTTTATGGTATCTAAAACACAGAGGAATAAACGTGTTATTAATCGGTTTGGAAAATCGTTTAGTCCTAAAACAACTAAACAACGCAGTTATCAAACAGATTATTTTGACCTAGGCTTCCCAAGAGTATGAAGCAGACTCCTTGTTCCGACAAAAATCCCTTTTTATTAAGTTACTGTGAATTCCAGCCTGGACTACTGCAATGCTCTCTACATGGGGCTCCCCTTGGGAAGCTCCAGTTGGTCCAGAATGCGGCCGCGCGGGGGATTATGGGAGCGACGGGGCGCTCCCATGTGACACCTCTCCTGCGCGAGCTGCACTGGCTTCCTGTGGTCTTCCGGGTGCGCTTCAAGGTGTTGGTGACCACCTTTAAAGCGCTCCATGGCTTAGGGCAGGGGTATCTACGAGACCGCCTTCTGCCACCACTTCGGCCAGTTCGCTCGCACAGAAAGGGCCTCCTCAGGGTGCCGTCGGCCAGACAATGTCGGCTGGCGACCCCCAGGGGGAGGGCCTTCTCTGTGGCGGCACCTGCCCTCTGGAACAACCTACCCCCCAGAGATACGCACGATACCAGACCTCCGGACTTTTCGTCGGGCCCTGAAAACTCATTTATTTCATCTAGCCGGCCTGGCTTAACCCCATCCTTGAGGTTTAAAATTTATAATTGGTTTTAACTGGGTTATTTTAAATTGATGGCCAAAATTATTTAATGTTTTTTAAATTGCTTTTAAATTTTATGTTGTGTTTTTACTGTGGCTGTTCACCGCCCTGAGTCCTGTTGGAGAAGGGTGGTATACAAATTAAATAAATAAAAATAAATAAATAAATTCCTCTCATTCACATCCAGCAAAGCTTATTTTACTCAAATAACTTTATCATTTAAAGGCTGTTAATGAACTGTCTTAACAACCTACCAGAATTCTAAGATAAGATAAGCACAGTCTTACTAGAGTTGGCAGAAAGCCCAGAAGCAATTTTGCAGACACGAAGGAGAGTGAACTAAAGTTGTTCTCTACAGCTTGTTGCAAGTGGAATTCCTTCTCAAATAGGCTAAGGGAGTGACCAATTAGCCCCAAGCCTTACTCTCGAGGAAACCTCCTCCTGAAGAGCCACTCCTGCCTTTTGGCAGCTCTGCGCGCTCGTGCATTGAGAAGAGGCTCCTCCTCTTCGTCCTCTTCACTTAAAGGAGCTTCTAGAGGTTCTGAAGGCCCTGGCTGAATCCCTACCTCTGGCACCACATCTTCTCCAGCCTCCTCACTGTCCGACTCGAGCGCCAGCTGCACAGGCTGCTGGTGCAGCACACCAGCCTCCTCGTTGTCAGAATCAGCTACTAGCTGCAAAGGCCGCTGACGGGCCACAACAGGTGTAGAGTTTCCTGCTTGAGCAGGGGGTTGGACTAGAAGACCTCCAAGGTCCCTTCCAACTCTCTTATTCTGTTATTAAAGATGGTATCAGCAACGTGTTGAGGTCTGCCTATTTTTTAAATTTAATTTTATTCACTTCCATTCCTAACACCGCTCCGTCTAATGCCACATACTCACAAATTCCATTTACTGCTGCATTGAGTATTTCCAATTTCAAGCAGTCCTGCAGAAATTCGGTATCCAGGTACGATATGTCGTTCTTGCTGATGTTTAAACTTTTCAGTTCTTTCAAACTGGTTCGCGCGACTAACGTTGAAAGTCTGTTACTAGATAAAAAGAAAAAAAACAAAACAAACCAGCATTACGGCAAAGGTCACACAAAACAACTGCCTTGCTACAGGCCCGTTGTTGATTTGACTTGTTAAAACGATTTATATGGTGACCCAACTCACAGATAGGTGATTCCAGACGGCTTACGACATTTAAAATCCCACTCCGTAAAATCCCACCAAAATATTAATAATAATAATAATAATAATAATAATAATAATAATAATAATAATGTTGTTGTTGTTGTTGTTGTTGTTGTTGTTATTATTATTATTTAATCTTTAGTGAGATTCACAGCCTTTGAGGCTGGTTAATAGCTCAGCAGCTCGAGTCTTAACCAAGGACCTAGGAACTGTTAAGGTATCGTCGGAGGATGTAAGCTGTTCCGAGTAAGGTGGTTTTTTGTAGAGTCAAAATGTTCAAGTCCGGCAAATTTAGAATTTCTAAATAGCGGGGTAGCCCTTTGGGTATTGCTCCAAGGGCTCCAGTTACAATCGGGACAACACATGATTTCTTTTTCCACAGTCGCTCAACTTCAATTTGCATATTATTATTATTATTATTATTATTATTATTATTATTATTATTATTATTATTATTATTATTATTATTTTATTGGATTTATATGCCGCCCTCTCTCCAAAGGACTCAGGGCGGCTCACATCAAACGAAACAATCCCAATAAATACAAATTAAAACATATTAAAACAGACTAAATACCATCCTGCAGATCTTTTCTCCTATACAGGTTAGTCCTCGATTTACAACAATTCACTTAGTGGCCATCCGAAGTTACGACGGCACTGAAAAATGTGACTTGGGACCGTTTTTCACATTTACGAAGGAGGGGTGGGTTCTACTTACCTTTACTACCGGTTCGCAGCGGGGCCGCGTGCGTACGCTTGCTTCGCTCGTGCACGTGGGCGCCCTTCTGCACATGAGCAGAAGCATTTTGATGACGTCGGGGTCGGTGGGTGGAGCCTCCCGCCAGTTTTACTACCGGTTCTATAGAACCGGTGTGAACCGGGGGCAACCCACCACTGTTACGAAGGTAGCAACATCTCCAACGCTGGAGAAAAATACATTAAAAACTCAGTTTTACGTTCTCACCCTTCTAATATAAGATGTTCCAGCTTGATGAGAATATTGCCAAGGTATCTAGGGATGCCCAACAGTTGGTTGTATGACAAATTGAGTAATTTTAGCATTGGACAGGTGATCGTTGGACTGAAACATAAGGTAGGTCCAATTTCATTTCGCGAAACGTCGAGGTGAACGATCTGAGGCATTTCCAAGAGACATTGTGGGAAAGACTTTAAACGGTTGCTGTGGAGGTCGAGATAAGTCAAACATTTCATGGTCTGGAAGAAAAAAAAGTTACGACAAATAAGCCGATTTAATAAATTATGGTACGGTAAATACACGGGTAAGGCGATACAAAAAGTAGCTTATTTAAGGGATCACTTAAAAGAGATATATCTATCTGGGAAAACGCAAAAAAAATCATAACAATTCTTTCGAGGAACTCCTATAATAAAAATAAACGGATTCCCCCGTTTTCATTTTCTTTATCTATAAAAATGACATATCTTGAATTGTTTCTGTTCTATAAAGATATTTTGCAGCTTTAATTGTGCCTAATAAAATATGAACTTTTAGTAATAGTTTATCCCATTATAGAAGAAATCAACACAAACTTTCTTTATTTTCCCTTTGTCCTCCCAATTTTTACAAAGTGACTTTAACCACATATCTCATTTTCTACATTCTTTCAAATGGTTTAATCCAGTGGTGAAATCCAATTTTTTTTACTACCGGTTCTGTGGGCATAGCTTGGTGGGTGTGGCAGGGGAAGGATATTGCAAAATCTCCATTCCCACCCCGCTCCAGGGTAAAGATACTGCAAAATCCCCATTTCCTCCCCACTCTGGGGCCAGCCAGAAGTGGTATTTGCCGGTTCTCCAAACTGCTCAAAATTTCCGCTACCGGTTCTCCAGAACCTGTCAGAACCTGCTGGATTTCATCCCTGGTTTAATCCAAGTTTGGATTAAACCAGGCGGTTAAATATTGGAAAAAAATACGGCAGTGGATTTTGGAAATTACACAGATCAATTTGGAATTGAGGCCCGAGATTTTCCTGTTGGGGGCAAAACCTTTGAATGTTAAATCAGGTATATGGTTCTTGTTGATTCATATTATTACTGCAGCAAGATTAGTGTTTGCGCAGGAGTGGAAAAATCAATACTTACCGATGGATTTGAAAATAATATATAAAATTAATGAGTGTGCGGAATCAGATAGATTAACTAGATTGATCAATGGTAAAAAAGATTCAGAATTTTATAACAGTTGGAAATTATGGTACGATTGGGTCCAGAAAAGGTGGGATAGAATAGATATATGATGGCAAGTATGCAGGGTGGATTTGATTTAAATCGAGCTGATTTAAATCACAATTTAAATCATGATTTAAAAGGCTAGTAAAAAGGCTTGATTTAAATCAACTTGATTTAAATCATAATTTTTAAAGAGCAACTGTCATCTCTGCTACTCCTTTGACCCACTGTTGACTCACTGATAGTCCCAGTGTTGCAGAATATACAGCCTCATGCTACATAACTAAGCTCCATTTCATGCTGAATAAACTAAATTATTTATGTATCATAAATAGAAAACGATCTTACAATACATTTTTACCCCAAAAATTTTTTATTAAAATAAATTCGCTAAAAATCAAAAAAATCCGATTTAAATCAAAAAAATCTGATTTTTTAAAAAATTTTTTAAAAAAAATCATTGATTTTTATCCACCCTGCAAGTATGTATGTATAAAGGAATGACTTTATATTTATGGACAATGTACTCACGTTACACCATGGTGGCAGAATTGTATATTTCATTTGTGTATTGATGCATAGAATATATTAATAAAATAAAATAAAAATTAAAAAAAAAACAATCTTCCAATGTGAGCATAATAATCCATAACTATATAACTGCAGCATCCTTATAAACCATTTTCTTAAAGTAACCACTCACTCAACTACAGTAATGGGACTAGTGAAAAGTTGTTCCAAGTTGCATCTTAATATCTTTTCAGGACTAAAATCTGGTATTTTCAGATTCCTTCGTCCTTCTCTTCTTCGGAGACTCACCTCGCAGAGTTGCTTCGGAACGCACGAAAGCTGGTTGTGATGCAGTTCTAATTTGTCGAGGTGTTCGAAGTGTGTAAGTAAGAAAAGACTCTGACCGATGAGATCTATATTCTCCAGCTCATTTGAGGACAAATCGAGGGATTTAATATATTCTCTGTCAGAGACCAGGGAAGGGAAGCTGTCCGAGCTCGTCATGCTGGATTGGGATACAGATGAGCCTTCTAATATAAAATAATAATTTTAAAAATTCAATTCCATGAGCAGCATCTGCTGTACTGGTTTCATTGATTTTTGGCTTGGCTGTCCCAAACACTTATAAAACTTTTAGATTAAGTGTCTCAAAAAATTCAGTAATGCAGAAATCTAACAGTTGCCTAAAAATACAGATAGTATTCGACTTACGGCCACAATTGTGCCCAATATTTCTGCTGTACAGTGAGTCAACCTGTCAAGTGAATTCTGCCTCGTTTTATGACGATGCTTGCCACTATTGTTAAGTGAATCACTGCTGTTGTTAACTTAGTAACACGGTTGTTAAGTGAATCTGGATTCCGCATTAACTATGTTTGTCAGTAGGTGTTCTGTTCCGTACGCAGCCTATGCAGCTAGTAGCTGATTCAGACAGCGAGGAGGCTGATGTGGTGCTGCGCCAGCAGCCTGTGCAGCTGACACTCAAGTCGGACAATGAGGAGGCTGGAGAAGATGTGGTGCCAGAGGCAGGTATTCAACCAGAGCCTTCAGAACCTCCAGAAGCTCCCTTAAGTGAAGAGGAGGAGGAGGAGGAGCCTCTTCTTGATGCACGGGCGCCCAGAGCTGCCAAAAGGCAGGAGTGGCTCCTCAGGTGGCGGTCTCCTCGAGAGTAAGGTTTGGGGCTAATTGGCCACTCCCTTAGCCTATTTAAGGAGGAACGCCGACTGAAGCAATTTGCAGGGAACAACTTCATTCACATACCGTTGTGTCTTGTCTTGCTTATCTTATCAGCTTCCTGCAAATTGCTTCTGGGCATTCTGCCAACCACAGTAAGCTTTCAGTTATTATTCTTTGAATTCTTGGCGGTTGTTAACGCAGTTAATTAACAGCCGTTGTTGTAAAAGACTGGTTTATTTAGTAAACTAAGGTTTGAACGGAATTTGTGTGTGCTGCGTTCTTTGGGGTCCGTAGCTGGGGCGGAACAGGAGGTCACAAAAAGTGATCACATGATCTCCCCCCCCCAGACACAGCAACAGTCATAAATATGAGTCAGTTGCCAGGGGTCTGAATTTTGATCACGTAGCCGAAGAGATGCTGCAACAGTCATTAAGTGTGAAAAACGGTCATAAGTCACTTTTCCCAGTATTGTCGTAACTTCGAACGGTCACTAAAGGAACTGTTGTAAGTCGAGGACTACCTGTATTGAGAATAGGTAACCCTTTCATGCATTTAAATATTTGCTCGTGGAACTAAAAAATAAAGGGATTAACAAGTAAACAAACTAAATTATAGCATGCAAACCACAGTATAGGTAATCCTCGATTTACGACCGCAACCGAGTCCAGAATTTATGTTGCTAAGTAAGAAATTTGTTAAGTGAGTTTTGCCCCATTTTACGACTTTTCTTGCCACATTTGTCAAGTGAATCACTGCCGTTGCTAAAATAGGAACAGGGTTGTTAAGTGAATCCGGCTTCCCCATTGACTTTGCTCGTCAGAAGGTCCCAAAAAGGGCATCTGGTGACCCCAGGATACTGCGACCGTCATAAGTATGAACCAGTTGCTAAACATCTGAATGTAAATCACATGACTATGGGCAGGGGTCAGCAACCTGCGGCTCTGGAGCCGCATGTGGCTCTTTCACCCCTCTGCTGCGGCTCCCTGTCACTGAAAATATGTGTCACGACCACCAATGTTTAATACCCGCCAGCATGTGATTTTTTGAACTTTTCAAAACCTCCCCCCCACCCCCCGGTAGGCCAATCATGGATAAATCCAAAATAGGGAGAAAAGTTTCAGAAGAAAACAAAGTTTAATTCAACTACATATGCTAGTTTTGTGGCCGCTGAAGAAATAATCAGGCACAGAAAGGGTTTTTGTGGCTCCCGGTGTTTTCTTTTCTGTGGGAAACGGGTCCAAATGGCTCTTTGAGTTTTTTAGGTTGCAGAGCCCTGACTATAGGGATGCTGTAATGGTCATAAGTGTGAAAAATGGTCATAACTCACTCTTTTTCAGTGCGGTCGTAACTTTGAGCGGTCACTAAATGAAGTGTGGCAAATCGAGGACTATCTGTACGTGGGTTCACCCCCCACCATCCCCAATACACCCACATCAAACTGGTATCAATCCAATAATAGTAACACTATTAACAGTCTTGCTCATATTACAGCATTCTGCGCCATTATAGCTATTTTCGATCAGATACGCTTCGATAAGATAACGTTTAAACTTTTAAAAATCTGTTATAACTTTTTACTTACTGTTCGAGTCTTCAGAAAACATGTTTTTTCTCCTTTGGTACTTTAGCGGTTCGTAAGGTGAGCCAGCCCCCTGAAAAAAAGGCCAAAAAATTAAAAATCTAGTTAGAGCCTTGGTAGTACAGTGGTCTAAGGCACCCTGTTATTAAGCTGGTTATTAAGACCAGCTGCCTGCAATTACTGCAGGTTCGAATCTTACCAGGCTCAAGGTTGACTCAGCCTTCCATCCTTTCTAAGGTAAGTAAAATGAGGACCCATATTGTGGGGGCAATAAGCTGACTTTGTATAAATATACAAAAGGATGAAGGCTATTGCTTAGTGCATTGTAAGCCGCCCTGAGTCTCCGGAGAAGGGCGGCATATAAATCAAAAATTAATAATAATAATTAATAATAATAACAATGATGGCCAACCTTTTTGACGTCGCATGCCAAACACGGGAGGAGCGCGGTGAGGTCATCCACATGTGCGCCCACACCCATAATTCAATGTGCCCCACCCCTGGGCATGCGCCCCCCCACTTTTAGCACATGATGGTATAGTGGGCCCGGTAGGCCTGTTTTTCACCCTCCCCAGGCTCCAGAAGCTTTCTAGGAGCCTGGGGAGGGCGAAAACAGCCTTCCCCACTCCCCCGGAGGCCGGAAACAGACCATTTCGCAACTTCTGAAAAGGACTGAAAAGCCCAAAAATCAGGTGGCCGGCGCACAGATGTGTGCTGGAGCTGAGCTATGGCAATGCTCGCGTGCCCACTGATACGGCTCCGTGTGCCACCTGTGGCACTCGTGCCATAGGTTCGCCATCACGGAGTTAGAACAATTAACCAGTGGAACAACTTGCCTCCAGAAGTTGTAAATGCTCCAACACTGGAAGTTTTTAAGAAGATGTTGGATAACCATTTGTCTGAAGTGGTAGAAGGCCGTGATGGAGAACCTATGGCATGCGTGACCGAGGTGGCGCGCAGAGCCATCTTTTCGGGCACGCAAGCTGTCGCGCAACTCACCTGCAGCTGCGCATGTAAGCGCTCCCCAGATGGTGTTTGGGCCTCCGGTGTGCATGCGTGCAATTCAGGGGATCCAGCTGGTTTTCGGAGCCCTCCTGCGCATGGGCGTGCATTTGCGCATGTGTGCGAGAGAACTTGTGTACAACATGCACAGACAGCATTCGCACATGTGCATTGTGTGCGCAAAAACCACATGCATTCACAGATGGTGCAATTGCACATGCAGCGCACGGGGGAACCACGCAAAACCTGCGTGCATTCGCAGATGCTGTGATTGGGCATGCAGTGCAAGGGAGAGCATGTGCAAAAGCCGTGCAGATGGGGGAGGAGCTGCACATTAGCTGGTATATAATTTCCTACCTAAGCAGGGGGTTGGACTAAAAGACCTTTAAGGTCCCTTCCAACTCCCTTATTCTATTCTTTAAGGATATTCCACGTTCAAGACGCGATTCCTTGCTCGCAAAAAGTGCTAATCTAATTTAGATGAGCGATTTATTTTTCCCTGTCCAAAGTAAAATAGACACTACTGATAAAAGAAAGACGTGGCTAAATATAGGTGGTCCTCGACTTACAACAGTCCATTTAGTGACCGTTCAAAGTTTACAACACCCTTCGGGGAAAAAAGGGACTTAGGACCATTTTTCACACTTACAATCGTTGCAGCCACTCCGTGGCATATTTATGACGGTCGCAGTGCTCTGGAGTCACTGGGGTCATAGAGCCAGTGGTGGGATATGGCCAGTGGTGGGATTCGGCCAGTGGTGGGATTCACGTAATTTAACAACCCGTTCTCTGCCCTAATGATTTCTTCCAACAACCAGTGTGTCAAACTGCTCAGAAAGTTAACAACCGGTTCTCCCGAAGTGGTGCGAACTGGCTGAATCCCACCACTGGATTCAGCCGGTTCGGGCCAGTTTGGGTGAACCGGTAATTAAATCGCTGGGTGGCCCCGTCCCGCCCCTTTCTACCCCACCCCTTCTAAGAGTCCCCATGTGTCCCATTTTGGCTCTTAGGTAACTGCAGGGAGCCCTCCTAGGCCCAAAATGGGGCGTGGGGGGGGGTGCCCCCCCAGTGGCCTGTTTTTACTCCCAGGAGGGGTGCAGGAGGTGGAGTGCTGCCTGTCACACCCCCTGGCCACGCCCACCCAGCCGGTCATTAGGGCGGAGAACCGGTTGTTAAATTATTTGAATCCCACCACTGCATAGAGTCATTGTAAGTTTGAACGGGGGTTGAACTGATCATCGTTAAATGAGGACTACCGGTACAATTAGAACTCGTTTGAACTATTGGTCTCACCACAGACTTGGAATGTCTTTGTAGCGGAGGAGTATACGTCTGAAGAGGTTTCTGGCGGTCGACAGCTGCCACAGAGTAAGATTTCTGCCTCACTATAAACGAGCTTTCACTCCCTGAGGCAAAAAGAAGACAATCGATTAAAATAAATTACATATATATATATATATGTATAAAACAGGGAAGTGAAAAAAAACTAAATAGACTCAAACACACCAAACTCCAACTAGTAACAATCCAGATGTCAGAAATGTAGCATGATACTCTCCCCTTTTATGACTTTCATCCCTCTTAAATAATTCGGGTAGAGTTGGGGCAACTGGATAGAGCTGAGCATTTACTGGCCGGATGCCCTTCCTGATGCCTACATGGAGTTCGCAGCAGTTTTTTTTTTCTTTGCACCAGGGGAGAGACAAATTATCTGCACTACCCAGGATTGAACTCCCAACCTTCTGAACAGGAGGCTATTAGCTTCACTGCTAGGCCACCACACCGCTCAAAAATGTAGCATGATATGACCGAAGAATATACAGGCAGTCCTCAACCTACAACCACAATGGAGCCCAAACTTTCCATTGCTAAGTGAGACATTTGTTAAGTGAGTTTTGTCCCATTTTACAACTTTTCCTCCCACAGCTGTTAAGTGAATCCCTCGAGTTTGTAAAATAGTAACACGGCTGTTAAGTGAGTCTGGCTTCCCCATTGAGTTGGATTGTCAGAAAATCAAAAAAGTGTAAGTGTAAAACATGGTCATTGGTCACTTTTTTTCAATTACGTAACTTCGGACGGTCACTAAATGAACTGTTTGTAAGTCGAGGACTACCTGTATGGTAGCCTAAATCAATTTATTTACGAAAAATAATATTAACTCTCATCGGAACATGAATAATACAGGGTTTTAACTTTTAAAGAAGACTTTTTGAGTAAATAGTACATCTATTTCATGTTAAGCCAGATTAACATTATTTAATGTTAAACAATTGAGAAATATATTTAAAAGTGAAAAGGAACATGTACACAGAGCAATAGCTGCATCTCCTGACCTCTCCTTCTGTGAAGTAGCTTACTAAAAGTTTACTAGGACTTCTTTGCTCCTACTAAAGGTCATCAGACCACATAGAGCCTTGATGGTGAACTTATGACACCCGTGCCGCCATATCTGTGGCCACGCAAGTGTTGCCCTAGTTAAGCTCCAGCGCTTATGTGCGCACCGGTCATCTGATTTTCGGGCCTTCTGGGCCTACCGGAAGCCAGGAAATGGGCTGTTTCTGGCCTCCAGAGGGCCTCTGCTGCAGTGGGGAAGGCTGTTTTCGCCCTCCCCAGGTGCCTAGAAAGCCTCTGGAGCCTGGGGAGGGCGAAAAACAGGCCTACCAGGCCCACCGTGCCATCGCATGCCAAAAGTGGGGGTCGGCGGGGGGTTGTGCGTGCATGTGCAAAGGGGACGGGGTGCAGCATTGAATTATGGGTGTGGGCACACCTGTGCGCAACCTCCCCCCCCGCGTTCCCCCCGCTTTTGGCACGGAAAAGCGGCAAAAAGGTTAGCCATCCCTGACACAGAGAAAGTGCACAAATATAGATTCATGACTAGATATTTAAGTCAGTCCTTCTCATGCAATACTCACCACTTCTGACTTACAACTTCCGAGTTGCAGTGAAGTTAATTAAAACAATAATATGTTCTGCATATCCCTAATGCATAGATTATGCAGATTAAAACAGATTAGCACATTACAGCTAGAGGAATGGAGGCAGAGATAACGTATTTAATATTTTATTTTTTTTTAAAAAATGTGCTGTAGAAAACTTTAGAATCTCACACAGCCTTGTGATATACACACATCGCTCCCTGGTTCATATACCGAATGCAGTGGTGGGTTTCAAATTTTTTTACTACCGGTTCTGTGGGTGTGGCTTGGTGGGCGTGGCATGGCTTGGTGGGCGTGGCTTGGTGGGAAGGATACTGTAAAATCTCCATTCCCTCCCCAATCCAGGGGAAGGTTACTGCAAAATCCCCATTCACCCCACTCCAGGGGAAGGATACTGTAAAATCTCCATTCCCTCCCCAATCCAGGGGAAGGATACTGTAAAATCTTCCATTCCCTCCCCAATCCAGGGGAAGGTTACTGCAAAATCCCCATTTCCTCCAATCAACTGGGACTTGGGAGGCAGAGAATAGATGGGGATGGGGCCAGTCAGTATTTTTACTACTGGTTTATTTATTTATTTATTTATTTATTATTCGAATTTCTATACCGCCCTTCTCCTTTCGGACTCAGGGCGGTGAACAGCCAAAATAAAAACATTTATACATAAATACAATTAAAAATAGATTTAAAATAATTAAATTTGGCCCATAGTTTAAAATTTATCGATTTAAAATCCATATCAAAATTTAAAACCAACCATAAAATCATAAAATCAAGAGAGACCGGCTAACTGAAAGAGATGAGTTTTTAGGGCCCGACGAAAGGTCCGGAGGTCGGAGATCACTCGTATCTCTGGGGGTAGATTGTTTCAAAGGGTAGGTGCCACCACAGAGAAGGCTCTCCTCCTGGGGGTCGCCAGCCGGCATTGTCTAGCCGACGGCACCCTGAGGAGGCCCTCTCTGTGGGAGCGAACTGACCGGTGGGAGGCTATTGGTGGCAGAAGGCGGTCCTGTAAGTACCCTGGCCCTAAGCCATGGAGCGCTTTAAAGGTGATCACCAACACCTTGAAGCGCACCCGGAAGTCCACCGGAAGCCAATGCAGCTCGCGCAGGAGAGGAGTCACATGGGAGCGCCCAGTCGCTCCCATAATCCCCCGCGCGGCCGCATTCTGCACCAGTTGGAGCCTCCGGGTGTACCCCAAGGGGAGCCCCATATAGAGACCGTTACAATAGTCCAGACGAGAAGTGATGAGTGCTTGAACTACTCAAAATTTCCGCTACCGGTTCTCCAGAACTAGTCAGAACCTGCTGAAACCCACCTCTGACCCAACGGAATGTGTTCTTTTTATATGCTAGTGTTGATATATTAATAGAGGGATAAATCCGTTCATTTCATTAAGCATACTTACCTTCGCTGTCTACATCATCGGTCAACGAGAAAACGCTGTCCACTAAAGGGTCAGGTAAGAACGTCCATTCTTCAAACTTCTGCATTTCATCGTTCTGGCTATTTATGTCAGATCGTCTTGACTGATCTTCGTAACTACTCGTCCTCTGGTATCGAAGGATCATTACGGCCAAGGGAGAACTTGGATCTTACGTGCAAGAAAGAAAAGTAATACTATTTCACAAATATTGGATAGACTAGATGCCGGTACTACAAGGGTGTCAAACTCAAGGCCCGTGGGCCAGTGGTAGTATTCAGCTGGTTCTATCCGGTTTGGGCAAACTGGTAGCGGCGGCTGCAGGAGGCTCCGCCCACCCGCCCGGACGTCATCACGTCCCATTTTGGATGCTCTGTGCATGTGCGAAGATGGTGCATGCACTCGCATTCGCGAACCGGTAGCAAAGGTAAGTGAATACCACCCCTGCCACGGGCCGTATCCGGCCTGTTGGGAGCTTAGATCTGGGCCACGGGGTCGGCCTGGAAATAGCAAAGGATCGGCTCGCGGTGCCTCCCCATGCCCTGTTTTGGGCGGCAAAGTGCTGCAGGAGGCCGTCCAGGCCGAAAACAGGCCCCGGGGAAGGGACCGCGCAAGGCCCCACCTGCGCCCCGTTCTGCCCGGCAAATGCTGCAGGAGGTATCCGTCCCGTCTCTCTCCCCCCCCTCCTCCCCCGGCCCGTGGAGGAGATCTACAGTGCTGATCCAGCCCTCGAAGGAATCCAGTTAGATACCCTTGCGGTACTACGTACAATGGCTGTGTTCAGAGCCGTGAGTAATTTGAACATAGGTGCGGTGTCCACGTAGTTCGATTCCCAGTTCAGAGCAACTGGAAAGCTTTGATAACCCGTTTCAAAATAATGCAGAACTGCAAAGCGATGGAATTCAGTTTTTGTCTTAATACAGGTAGTCCTCGATTTACGACCACAACTGAGCCCAACATTTACGTTGTTAAGTGAGAAATTTGTTCAGTGAGCCTTGCCAAAAATCACTATAGTTGTTAAATGAGTAACAGGGTTGTTAAGTGAATCTGGCTTCCCCGTTTGACTTTGCTTGTCGGAAATTCGCAAAAAGGGGACCCCCCCCCCGGGACACTGCAACCGTCATAAATGTGAATCGGTCGTCAGGCATCCGAATGCCAATCACGTGACCACGGGGGATGCTGCAACGGTCGTAAGTACGAAAAAAAAACCGGTCATAAGTAACTTTTTCCCGTGCCGTTGTAACTTTGAACCGTCCTAAGTCGAGGACTACCTGTATGAGAGGAAGGCCACAATAAAGTACGAGTTTGAACTCTACACCGGTGTGTCCGAGTGTTTGCGCCTGACAACTACACGTATCTTAAGATTAGCGTACTGGTTTGTTTCCGGGAGGATGCAAGTCTGCTTGGAAACAAGGGGATCAGCCACGAAGGTTCGATGCGCCCGATACCGAATCCTCCCAGGCAAATGCTGCGGTTGGTCACATCCAGGCAAAGTTTTTTCAGAAGCAGACTGATGATCTC